TAAACAACAGCCAGAAGATATTAAAGATGTTTGGAACAGGGTCAGCCTCTCTAGAAAGGAGGATTGCTAGTAAGGAATATTAGGATATGGATGGAATAATATCTTGGAAGGGCAGAAAGAAAATGGCCCTTCCAAGCAGAGCTTCAAGTTGAGGTAAAAACAGAAACGTTGTCAAACACCATGGCTGAGAGAGCTACTCCAGCTGGCCTCTGAATCCTCTCTGAAGAGGCACACTTCAGAAGAAACATCAGTTTGCAAAGAACATTGGAGTAAAAGGAGAAGGAGCCAACAGAATTTGCTAAATTTGGGGGAAATTTTAAGCATGAAGACTTAGTTCTGATTCCCAGAATGCACACAATGGCAGATGTGGTACAGCTCACATGTAATCCCGGGGCTCCTGGGGTATGAGACAGAGAAAAGATCACTGGAATCTTGAAGGCCAGCTATCCAGGCAGGGATAGCCCATACACAACAAATCCTCACCCAAACAGAACAGAAGGCAAAGACCAGCATCCAGTGTTGTCTTCTGACCTCCACATGGGATGACATGTATGTGCTTATACACACACATGAACTCAAACACATCCTTACACAGACACATAGATACACACACACACACACACACACACACACACACACACAGAGTGAAGAAGGAAATATAAGGAAATGGGCTGGCCATAAAAGAAAACAGAACTACTTAAATTATCTTAAACTTATTCTCTTCATTAAAATACATCACATAACTGAAAAATATAAAACCATAAATGAGGAGATGATGCACTGTAAAAACAGAACATTAATCAGTATTGGCACCACCTACAATAATATTTTGGTTTGTTTGATTCACTTTTTTGTTTGTTTTGAGGCAGGATATTACTATGGAGCTCTGGCTGTCCTGAAGCTCACTCTGTAGACCAGGCTGACTTCAATCTCACAGAGATCTGTCTGCCTCTGCCTCCCGAGTGGTGGGATTCAAGCTATGCAACACTACTACTTGCTTACAATCTTATAAATTTAACCATAGAAGACAAATAATTATTCAGTAAAGGACAGACAAATATACAAACTAAATTATTCATCAAGTCTATGTACAACAACCTTGTGTTGAAATACAAAGTTAGTCACTTTGGGGCACCAGACTGTTAAAAAGAATGATGTAAACAAGTCAAAAACATATGCAAGAGTACATGCTAGTACAGACTTCCATTATATAGTTGGCACCTGTGTAGAATTCTTGCAATTACTGTAGAATATGGGTTTTATATCAAATGCAAAATTATAAACAGAATTGACTTCCTTTATATATCTAGGAAACTATTCTGAATCAAGGCCCATGTGACAATAACATTTATGAAAGCATCATTCAGAACTTCTAAAATTCTGAAAGAAAAAATAGAAATGTCTTGCTAAAATAAAATGAAATTACAATTTGTGCTATAATTAATAAACCATTCTTGGGTGAAAATTAATGTAGTAGTACAAATTGCATCAGAAGAAACCCAACACCGAACAGAAAGGAATGCATGGCTTCACAACAAGTAATTTCAAAATCTGGTAGAAAAAAAAATCAATAAATAAAGTAAAACAAAAAACATAACAAAGCATTGGGTCTAGTAGGCACAGGTATGAAATTTGGTAAGAGGGTAGGAACCTTAAAATCACTGGGAATGTTCCATTTTGTGAGATTTGTCGTGAATATAACTCTAATTTCACTCCCCCCTTAATTATACCCATTTGTAAGGCCAAATAACTGAATGTGAATTAGATTTTTCTCCAGTCACAGATGAAGGAGAGTTCTACAGCCCAACCAGTGGCATGTGTTAATATTCACGGAAATTGCTAGGAAAGCCATCTGATATCACTGGCAGTTGTATTGATGCTAATAAGTTACCCCCAAATTAGAAGTCACCATCTACACATATTGCAAATTCTACCACACAAATAAGGATAGACTATGAACAGAGTAAGCAAGCACAAGCTTACCCAGACTGAAGTTTTTTTTTCCTTTTGTGCTGGCAGATCATATAACTTTGGTGTGAAATGGATCCTTTTTTGTAAACATGTCATTAAAAGAAAGCATTACAGTTGTATTTATACAGATATATTTATACTAAAGGAAATGATTATGAGGAATAGCCTCATTGGTCTTATATCAATGGTCTTGAATTTCATGCTTGTAACGATAATAGTAAGATTATTAAAACAAACAAACAAACTTTCATTTGTTAGATTTGGATATGCAAATTTCACTTCCTAGCACTTTCTGATTCAGGAGAAAAAAATATGCCAATTTGAAAAAAAAAAAGTCACATTTAGATTGTATTATCAATTCATCAATGGAAGTGGAAATTATGTTTTAATACAAAATTAAATGTAAGTTACATATGAAAACCACAGGAAAACACAGTTCAAGAGAAGTAGGATGAAATCAACTAAAATATAATTCTGAACACAGTTCAAATTTCCACTTCTTCCCTGAACTACTTGATAAAAAAGCAGAATTTATAACACTTAGGGACCATATCCTGGCCTGATCATTTTGATCTTAAACCAGAAAGTAAGACGATGTGGCAGTGCTCTCTAAACTGTGTAGCTTGAGACTTGCCACTGTGAACTCCATCCCCCTCCACTCCTTTGCCTCTCCTCTTCTTCCTCTATCACCTTCTTCCTCACCACTGTGTTTATTCAAGCCAGTGGATCACTGCCAATGCTTGATAATGGATACTCGTTGTCTCCTTTAAATTTTGACTGACTCTGACATCTGGGATCTGGGTTTCTGAACTTGGGCACAGGGCTGCACGTTTGGTGAAGCGTGTGTTTCCCAACCCCCCCCCCACACACACACACACAACCTTCCAACAGAGTGCTGCCACATGCATCTCTGCTTAGAGGGAAAAGATATTCATCATACCTTAAACTCTATTTTTGTTTTTTGTTGTTGTTTACCATGGAGTTTATGAGATCGGGAAGAACAAACATTGCTAGAGGACGTTATACAGGGAAAGGAAAAAAAAATAAAATAAAATAAAGAACCCAGTAATCTGGGAACACTTCAGTCATAGCTTTACATTTAGGAACATGAAAAAAAAAAGTTCTATTTGCTGTGTTTTAGTTCAATCCAGTGGTAGGAGTTACATCCTGGCAATGAATATAGTCTATTTGTAGCTGGAAACTCCTGTACCACATTTCTTTAGAAATTAAGGGGTACAGAAGTGGGAAATCGGGCAGATATACAATAATTTTAAAGATAGCAAATGAAACTCAACCACCTAGAAAATGTAAATATCAAATTGATCATGAGTTTCGTAATTAAAATTGTCTTGATTCAGAAGCGAGCATTAATTTGTTCCAATGAGATTCTTCTTCAAATCCCCCAGAGCGTTCTTGTGACAAGCCATGTGTTTCTGCAGGCCCACATATCTTAATATAAATGCTAAGAGTTTTCCACATGGGAAGAAACCGTGAACGGGTTCCTTCTGGTTTTCCACCATCAATGAATATAAATGAAGTAATTCCAGTTTCCTGATGAGTCTCCTTGCTAAGGATGACACATTTATTAAGTTAGAGTTCTTAAGTTTGTATAGATCAGTTCTGTGGGAAATCCATTAATTTTCTGATACGCATTCTAAATTTTGTCTATAACTGTTCTTTAAGGGAGAATTTTCATGACTTTCATCCAAATCTAAGAGAATCAATGTTGCCGAATGTTAAGAATCATTGGTTTGGAGAATGGATATGGCCTGGATACTCAAAACTGGTATTATCTCAGGTTTTCCTACTATGAATTTATCCTGTATTCTTACAATAAGAAATATCTTAAAGGATCAAACGTTTGAATCATTAAAAAATTATTCATAACTTACTTGATTATAGAAGGACATATACATATATTTTCAATTTGATTTACTTAAATAATTGCTTGACAGAGAAAGCATATGGTGTTGCTATAATAGTCCTGAATGGAATTAAAAGACTCTGCTCTGATACCAGTTTTAGCACAAATTAGCATATGACCTTGATCAATGTCACCTGAGCTGTCAGAGCTTTTGAAATTCTTAAAGTGCCTTCACACCATTTATTATTATTATTATTAAGAACCAACTTAATAGAGTACAGAATATAGGTTCTCTGTGAACGGAAGACAGGCCTTTGCTGGCTTTCTACACTGGGCTATAAACTGGTCTTCCTGGCTCTAGGATTTTCCCATGGAAATGTACTAGGTATGCCATAGATGTCCATCATTTGCCTTAGGTTGTGGCACTCAGTGAGAAGACTACATGACTAGATACTGAATGCCTTCAGAGGTTAAACAAAACTGGGTTCTGCACCTAACTGTTGCATCTTTGTAGTTGCTAGTACCACAGACATGGCACAGACAAAGACCTCAATGAAAGAATACCTGTTAAGTTAATTAGGCAATACATATCAAGTATTTTGTAACTGATACACAACTTTAAACCCAGTACTTGGAAGGGCAGAGGTAGGCAGATCTTTCAGTTTGAGGCCATCATGGTCTACATAGAGAGTTCTAGGTTAGCCAGAGACACACAGTAAGACCCTGTTTCAAAACAAACAACTCCAAGGACTAATACATGAAAATGTAAGGCTGTCATAGTGTTAGTATATTGCAGGCACTGTGTTGGGGCTCTTCTACTTAGCATCTTATTTTATCCTTACATCAGCCCTGGGAAGAAGGTTCAGTAATATCATTAACCCTCATTTTACAGTTATTGAGCTAATAAATGTCAGGTCAATTTTCTATCTCAGGCATCCTGAAGTTGGGATGCTTTCACATACTTGTTATCACACTCTTACTACATGCTACCTCCTAGTGATTTATTCAGATTTCCAACTTTTATTTACTTCTCTTACCTTACCATTTTTCTTCCCCTTTTGATATTAATTCTGAAAAAACTAAACAGATATGAATCCATCATTAGGATTAGGACTAGAGATTCAAGCATGAATGGGAATAAGCACGGGGAAATTCTGTAACTTACTAGGTCCAAGGCAGCAGCTAGGATGGATGCATCGGGAATTGTCCCTGGCTCACAACAGTTGAGCAGAAACTGAAAACGTTTCATGCCTTGTCGGATTGCTCCCAGGTTCACCACATTTTTGCTTTTTCCACCATCTTGGTTGGGAGAAACATGGTCATCGAAACTGTGGCAACCTGTAGGGTTGTGTCATTGTGAAAGGAGAGAGGGAAATGGATCATAAAAACATATCCAAGTCATTCCAGTGTGTTTCCTGTACTGTTAGCCTGAAAACTCTCTTCCACCCTTCCTCTGAACCTCTAAGATGCTTGCTATGCACACATTTTGACTTGAATTAATTGGTGACATGTAAGATAAAAATTCAGGATTTTCATCAAACAACTTCAATGTAGGGTCTGATTACTTTGCTACTGTATCTCTAACGTAGTAAATGAAATTGCCATATTTGAAATAAGGGAAATTAGCTCTGAGTTCCTGCCCGCAAGATCCTTGACCCCCAAATCTGGGCCTCTGCTAAAGAAAGAGGCCTCAGCTGAAGAGTTCCAGTTTCCAGTGAGATCCGACTATCCTGCAAAACCTTCCCAAGTTTCAGCTCAGCCTTTGTCTTCTTCTGCCAGCCATTGGCTAGAGCCATTGGCTCATGACATCTTCTACTAGATCCTCAGCCCTGACCCCATCCTTGGGTCCCTGTCTGAGGGGAGACATCCTAGAGAGCTTGCACCACCCAGAGCTACAGATATTGAATCTCTGACCCACATAAGCCCACCGGGGAAGTACCATAGAGAGAAGGGGAGACCCCACAAACACCTACTGGAAGAAGCTAAGGGAAGAAGGCAATACAAGGAAACACCTAACAACAGAAAGACAAGCATGACACCACCAGAATCTAGGAAATCTACACCAACTAGAATGGAACACAACAACAAAGCAGAGGAAGCAGAAGGGAACGACTTAAAAATTACCATCATAAAAATGATAGAGGCCCTCAAAGAAGATGTGAGAAAATCCCTTAAAGAAATGGAGGAAAAAAAAAAGTGGAAGAAATGAACAAATTCCTTAAGGAAAGTACAGAAAGCCAAGAAAAAACAATTAAGCAGGTGAAGGAAACAGTTCAAGACTTGAAAACTGAAATAGAGAAAATAAAGACAACACAAACCGAAGGAATGCTGTAAATAGAAAAACTGGGCAAAAAATCTGGAACTACAAACATAAGCATAACCAACAGAATTCAAGAGATGGAAGAGAGAATCTCAGGCACAGAAGATAAACTAGAAGAAATAGATTCATCGACCAAAGAAAAGCATAAATCCAATAAATCCTTAACACAAAACATCCAGGAAATGTGGGACACCATGAAAAGGCCAAACCTAAGAATAATAGGCATAGAGGAAGGTGAGGAAGCCCAGCTCAAAGGTGCCGAAAACATATTCAACAAAATCATTGAGGAAAACTTTCCAAATCTGAAGAAGGACATGCCCATGAAAGTACAAGAAGCATACCGGACCCCAAATAGGCTGGACCAAAGAAAAAAGACCTCTCAACATATAATAATCAAAACACCTAGCATACAGAATAAGGAAAGAATATTAAGAGCAGCGAAGGAAAAAGGACAGGTAACATATAAAGGCAGAACTATCAAAATTACACCTGACTTCTCCATGGAAACCCACAAGGCCAGAAGGTCCTGGATAGATGTTCTAAAAGTATTAAGAGAACACAGATGCCAGCCTAGGTTACTATATCCAGCAAAACTCTCAATCACTATAGATGGAGAAAACAAGATATTTAATGACAAAACCAGATTTTCCAAATACGTATCTACAAATCCAGCCCTATAGAAAGTATTGGAAGGAAAACTCCAACCTAAGGAAGGTAACTATGCCCACAAAAATGTAGGCAACAGATAATCCAACTACACCAGAAACCAAAGGTGAAGCAGAACTAATATATTCACAATACCACTGCCAACAACAAACCTAAATCAAACAAGCATCAACAATCAATGGTCCTTACTCACCCTCAACATTAATGGTCTTAACTCACCTATAAAAAGACACAGGCTAACAGAATGGATACGAAGACAGAATCAATCCTTCTATTGCATACAAGCAACACATCTAAGCTTCAAAGATAGACATTACCTCAGGGTAAAGGGTTGGGAAAAGATTTTCCAATCAAGTGGAAATAAGAAGCAAGCAGGCATGGCTATCCTAATATCTAACAAGTTAGACTTCAAACCAAAATTAATCAAAAGAGATGAAGACAGTCATTTCATATTCATCGCAGGAGAAATCCATCAACACAAAGTCTCAGTTCTGAACATCTATGCCCCTAATACAAAGTCACCCACATTTGTAAAAGAAACACTACTAAAACTCAAAGCTCATATAAAACCTCACACACTTAGAGTGGGAGACTTCAATATACCACTCTCAACACTAGACAGGACCACAAATCAGAAACTCAACAAAGAAACAAAAGAACTAACAGAAGTTATGTCTCAACTGGGTATAACAGACATCTATAGAACATTCCATCCAAAGACAAAAGAATATGCCTTCTTCTCTGCTCCACATGGAACCTTCTCTAAAATCGACCACATACTAGGTGACATAACAAACCTCAACAGATACAAGAGAATAGGAATACTTCCCTGTATCTTATCGGACCACCATGCCTTAAAATTAGAATTCAACAACAACACAAATAGAAGAAAACCTGCAAACTCATAGAAACTGAACAATGTGCAATTGCACCACTCCTGGGTGAAAGAAGAAATAAAGAAAGAAATTAAAGACTTTCTAATATTCAACAAGAATGAGGACACAACATACCTGAACTTATGGGACACCTGGAAAGCAGTACTACGAGGGAAGTTCATTGCACTAAGTGCCCATATGAAGAAAACAGAGGATAGTCACGTAAGAGAGTTAACAGCGCAACTAAAAGCCTTAGAACAGAGAGAAGCGAACTCACCCCGTAGGAGTAGATGCCAGGAAATAATCAACTTGAGGGCTGAAATCAACAAAATAGAAACCAGGAAAACAATACAAAAAAAAAAAAAAAAAAATCAATGCAACGAAGAGTTGGTTTTTTGAGGAAGAAAATCAACAAGATAGACAAACCTTTATCCAAATTAACGAAAAAGCAGAGAGAGAACATGCAAATTAACAAAATCAGAAACGAAAAGGGAAAAATAACAACGGACACAGAGGAAATCCAGACAATTTTCAGGTCATACTTTGAAAATCTGTATTCCACAAAAATTGAAAATTCAAAGGAAATGAACAAATTTCTGGGGACCTATCACTTACCAAAATTAAATCAAGAACAGACAAACAACTTAAATAGACCTATAACCCCTAATGAAATAGAAGCAATCACTGAAAGCCTTCCAACCAAAAAAAGTCCAGGGCCAGATGGATTCAGCGCAGATTTTCACCAATCTTATATCAGACAAAGGGCTGATCTCCAAAATATACAAAGAACTCAAGAAACTAGTCAACAAAACACCAAATAACCCTATTAAAAATGGGGTACAGAACTGAAGAAAGAATTCTCAATAGAGGAAATCAAAAAGGCTGAAAGACACTTAAGAAAATGTTCCACATCCTTAGCTATCAGGGAAATGCAAATCAAAACAACTTTGAGATACCATCTTACTCCTGCCAGAATGGCTAAAATTAGAAACACCAATGATGACTCATGTTGGAGAGGATGTGGAGAAAGGGGGAACACCCCTCCACTGCTGATGGGAGTGCAAACTCATACAGCCATTTTGGAAATCAGTATGGCGGTTCCTCAGGAAAATGGGAATTAGTTTACCACAGGACCCGACAATCCCCCTCTTAGGCATATACCCAAAGGATTCACATCCATGCAAGAAAGACATCTGTTCAACTATGTTCACAGCAGCACTATTTGTAATAGCAAGAACCTGGAAGCAACCTAGATGCCCCTCAATTGAAGAATGGTTAATGAAGATGTGGCACATCTACACAATGGAATACTACTCTGCAGAAAAAAATAATGGTATCTTGAAATTCGCAGGCAAGTGGATGGAACTTGAAGAAACCATCCTGAATGAGGTAAACCAGTCACAAAAAGAGGAACACAGTATGTACTCACTCATATATGGATTTTAGACCTAGATCAAAGTATCACCAGCCTATAATTCACACCACCAGAGGAACTAGGATACAAGGTGTATTCTAAGAGATTCATATAAAGTCCCTCACAGAACTGGGAAGGGACAAGTCCCCCAGAGCTCAGGTGAAGTGGGGGTGGGCAGTGAATGGAGAGAGAAGTAGGAGAAAACGAGGGGGAGGAAAGGACAACATGTGTGACCAGGAAGATTGAGCCTGGTTAGGAATAGAAGACAGGAGAGAGAGAGAGAGGGAGAGAGAGAACATAAAAGAGGGAGCCAATATTGGTTTGAAGATAAAATTGAACACAAAGAAAGGTCTAGAGAACTACAAGACTGCTGCCAACTAACAATTTGAGCTTCCATGGAAAGGCTATCATAAATGCCCTTCCCGGAGAGTGAGATCAACAACTAACTTCTCCATGGAGCCCTCAACTAATGCCTGTTGGAAACAGGAGCAAACACCCATACATAAACACTGAGTCAAACTAGAACCCCGATGCAGATGGAGAGGACAAGACCATGTGGCAGAAACACATAGAGACAGCTTACCTGAACAAGGAGGAACTAACGGGCCACCAGACTGATAGCTGGGAAGCCAGCATGGGACTGACTCAGGCCCCCCTGAATATGGGTCTCAGCCAGAAGGACTGAGCAATCTAAGGGACCTCAGACAGTGGAGCCAGGATGTATCCCTGGTGCACAAAAGGACTTTGCGAACACATCCCCCATGGAGGGATAACTGCCTTAATCTAGAGACAGGAGAGAAGCCCTAGTCCCTACTTCACATGACCTGTCAGATCTACATAACCCCAACTGGATGGCATTCCCCTACATATGGTATTGGGGTGGGGGGATGGGAGGGGAGGGTGTTTAGAGTGCATGTGAGAGGGCAGAGAGGGTAAAAGGGAGGGCAGAATGGAGGGAGGAAGGGAGGGAAGGAGAGGGAACTTTGATCGACATGTAAAATAATAAATTAAATTAAAAAAATGCTTTGACTCCAAAATTTAAGTTCAAGGACAAGTTATTGGGGAAAAGGATTTCTATTTTTGTTTCCACAGAAAATGAAAAGTTGTGGATTCCTTCCAGACTAATGTAGTTTGATCAAGCCAGACCGCCTGAAACAGAGTATGGAGGTGATCCTACATTCAAAGCAGCTGGACAAAGCAGTCTTACAGACTACAGCCAGGATTTCTGAATCTTCTTCGAATCTCCCATGTCAGCGACCTTTACCAGCAGGAAGTAGTTTGGAAAGAACAATGCCCAAATTCCCAAATATTGTCTATAAATGTTTGTTTTCATTTAAATGGACTTGGTTATATAAAATAAATAAATAAATAAATAAATAAATAAATAAATAAATAAATAATGGGAAACAATGGTAAAAAAAAAAAGAAATAAGGGAAATTAGGAGTGTAATTTTGGATTTATAGTTGAAGAAGAGGGTTCAGGGAAATCAAATGAAATGACAGCAATCCAAAGATATTTTCATTTCTCCCATGAAGGAGAATATTCTACAAATGGGAAAGTCCAGTGCCTTTGTCAATTAGAGGAGCTATGATGAAATAGCATGGGCCAGCTAACTTTTAACCCACTAATGTCTGCCTCTCGTATCTCTGTGACCTACAAGTCTGAACTTGGGCTCAAGTAGTCAGTTCTTTCTGATTTGATTATGTCTTTAAATGGCCTTCCCTTGTATAAGCACAAAAATGCCTCATCTTTCTTTTCTATGAGAGCACTAAAACCCAGTCATGGTCATGTTACCCTCATGACATCGTCTAATCACCTAATATCTACCCAATCACCTTCTGAAAGCCCCATTTCCAAATGTTACCATATTGTGAGTTGAAAGTTCATAACACAAACTTTATATAGATGAAAAAATTCAGTCTACAACATATGGAAACATACAGTATATGGAAAACATTCAGTAACAAGGAGCATTTCCCATACCACGCTCTTGGGCTTATGCTGCAGGTACATCAAGTTACCAGGCCTGTGTGTAGAAAGCACTTAAGGGTATGGTCACAGCACAAGCCAGGTGACATTGAGCTAGCATGGAACAGACCTCAGAACACACATTAGCTTCATCCTCAAAAAGCAAACAGAGAAACATTGTCTTTATGATGCTGCTGGTTCTGAACACTAGAGATTGTCTCTGAAATTCCACAGGAAGTGGGTAGAGTGTGAACAAACTGAAATGGTGAAGGTGGCAAAGACTTGGGTGGTCAGGTAGAGCCTTGAGAGGGGTTTTTCTCCTTCTTCACTACTGAGAATGAAATCTAAATCCTCATATATTAGACAAGTGCTCTACAACAGACCAAAAGTTCCAGCTTAGGAGGACACTTGAAACCTTATGCTAAAAACTTGATGCCTACTCTAAATTGCAAGAGACAGTCAAACGGACAGGGTGACTCTTGTGGTGTAAATAAGCTTAGGAACCACCATGACTTCATGAAGAGCATATCACAATGAACTAAGTGACACACTTTCAATATTATCATAAAGATATCAAGGAGAAGCCAGGTGTTAGTGGCACATACCTTTAATCCCAGCACTTGGGAGGCAGAGGCAGGCGGATCTCTGTGAGTTCAAGGTCAGTCTGGTCTACAGAGCTAGTTTCAGGACAGGCTCCAAAGCTACACAGAGAAACCCTGTCCTGGAAAACAACAACAAAAACATATCAAGGAAATCATTTTTGGTAAAGTCTGATGATTCTTTTGTAATGGGAGGGGAAAATAATTCATGGATTATTGGAAATTTGATGGCATGGCTTGTTGAAAAGCTATGTCCACAAATTATTAAGTATATTCAACTAGAATAACAGTAACAGCTGCAACTTTATCTTTTTCCTGGTCAGTAATAAACTGATTAACTTGGATAAAAGCATGGAAACATGTATCTCTTCAGATGGATGATCAAAGTCCAGTTATAAAGAAATGATACAGAATTCAAACTGATTTCAAGTTTGTCCTTTAACTTTTTCTTGGTAAAATGATCTAACTGTATTCCATGTAACAAAATAATTAAATCCTATGAAATAGAGAGTCCATAGTGGCTACAACAAAGCATATCATGACATTTATTGATAGAAAGATGAACTAGCAAAAGCTGACCAATACAAACAGCTATGAGATGAGAACACTGATCATGTGTTTTAAGTTTATACATTTGCTATATCCATGGTTTAGTTACACTATTGCCTACACTGATTAAATTCAAATATGGCCTGCTGTATTCCATCTAAAGTTCCAGAGTTTACAATACTCACCATCTACCAAGCAAACACAGAAAAAAAGAGTCAGGATGTGCCAGAACCAGATATGCTTCCATGAAATGAAAACTAAAGAACTCAAAGACATTTAGTCAAAGAGATCAAAAGAGAGAACAGGAAATGAGTAACAGGGGGTTGTGGCATTATATGTTGTTGTGTATGTGTGGACACAGATGTCATCACTCGGTCAAATCATCAAGTTTGCGGGCAAATATATTTTCAGAGTATAAAGAGAGATTTCCTAACAATTAAAACTGTCAGCTCTGGAACAAACTGCTTTGTAAAGTTGCACACTCCCCCTCAGCAGAAGCACAGAGAGGGAGGGTGGCCACCTGTCAGCCATGGATGAACAGAACTCTGAAGCTGAGTGGTGGGTGGATAGCAGGTCCCATGACTCTCCTTTTCTAACAAAGACAAGAGGCCATGCCTTCCTCTCTGCACACTCCGTGCTCACCAGGGGGTGAGAATCACAGTAACATTCCCACAAACGTCTCTTCTACAAAGCTGGTAATAAAGAAGCTATAGATAACAGTGAAGACACATTTAAAGAACAAAGCATAAGACAATGCAAATAGAAAATGACCATTTTCTTTTGGAAAGAGACACATTTAGAAAAAAAAAGAAAAAGAAAAGAAAAGAAAAAAGAAACAGAGAAGTTAATTTAGATAACTGAAAAGAAGAAAAGCTGAGTGGCACCCTTAGGCTATTGACATTTACCAAGGCGCTTGAAGAAATTCTCCTCCTCTTCTCGGCCATTCTCCATCCCACTCCCTGGCCCACCTTCAGAAAGCTTGACAGCACTGGTGAACTTGACCTGGGGAGGAAAGGAAAGCCATTAGACATTCATCAGGCAATCTTTTGGTTATACTCGCCCTTGGTTTGAAAGGTAAATTGTTTAGGATATGAAAATAAATGACTTTGTTCTCTGGCTTCCACATCTAGTAAGCTCTGTCATGTAATACATTCCCATGTCCCAAAAGAGACGTCAGTATAATTGCAGGCACAAGGAATACCAGGTAAGAGGTCAGATATTGAATGTGAAAATAATTTAGTAAACAACTCAGGCATATGAAGTGTTAATTTGGATAAAGTCCAAACTGAATGCCATATCCATCCTTCATGAATTCAACCATAGTTTAAAGAGAAAAATGACTAAACTGACTTAAATTCCTAAATTGGTTTATAGTATAATATTTTCCCCTACTTTCCCTCCCTCTCTCCCTTCCTCCCTCACTCTACCTGTTCTTCTCCTTCTCCCTCTTTCTTTATTCTCCTAGAATTGATTGGAAGAACTGTCACATGCTTGGAAAGTGCTCTATCCCTGGGCTACATCCATAGCTTTCTTGTTGACTTGTTATCTTGAGGCAAAAACTCACTAAATTGCTCAGGTCAGTCAGGCTAGTCTTGAACTCATAGCTCAGGTTTGGCTTGAACTTAAGACTCTGACACTAAACTATCAAGGCACCACCAGACCTGATCCTATATCTCTTTTAAAGCTTTATTATGTCTTCATACTTTTGACTTCAGGTCAAGTCAGGAAGATTTAAGTAATAGCACAGAAAAGAAGCCAGAGGCAGGTAGACACCAATAATTGTCTGATATTTTTGCAAAAAGAAGGATATACATAGAATTTCAATTATATTTCCTTAATTTCTATCAATCTGTTATATTCTTTATACATATACATGTAGCTATAGATATAGATATTTAGAGCATCTTTCCTTATTTTTGTTCTTAACTGCATTTCCCATTCTTCAGTTACAATAGCTTTTAATCAGTGACCCTGATGTCCACTTCTTCACGAGTAATGTCCTGTTTACCTTGGAGCTTTGCCTGATGAAAGACAGGCGATCCACAGAGCTAATGTCCAGGAGGTCCTCTACACCATCTGCCAGGCCAGAGAGGGAGGATCGCTTCAGCCAGTTTCCTAGTTAATGGTATTTTGAAAAATTAATCTGTTACAGCATTTGGTTTCAAATGGATTAAACAGAAATGCCAGCATGTACTGAACTAGCAATAAAAGTCACATGGTTCTAATATAAATAGAAGAAAAAAAAAACAAATTGTTTTCAGTATACATGTTTTGAATCAAAATGTTCAGTGTTGAACTATAAAATTACATGAGCACATTAAGTGCAGGACAAATAGACCTGCTCTCCTCCACTGCAGGAAACCACAATCCATCCACCCATGCTAGACAAATTTTCCATATGTCTTGAAAACCTGTACATTTTACCTCCTAAACAGTTCTCAAATCTATTTCTCTGCTTATGCATACTATACAGTCTCAATGTTCATTTGTTTATTCCTGGGCCACTGGGCAGCTTTTTGTTGGATTCTCTTATTGACTAATGTTCCCTCCAATACAATTGTCTTCTCTAAGGTTCATAAACTTGCATCACTCTGTTGTCCCTAACACTTTGGTACATGAGGGCCATGGTAAAAAGCCACCCTGACTTGCCTGTGATTTGTCTTGCTCTTCTGCTACAGTAAATCGCCATTTCCCCACTTAACTCATTCCTTCCAGTTCCTCCCAGCCTATTATCTTTGCCCATTACCCTTGGACTTTTCTCATTCTTTCTCCTGTATAGGTGGCAGATTTTAATGTCTATTTCCTCATTTCTTTGCACAGGTCAGGCTTCGTTGTTGTCTGTGTTCATAGCACTACCTATTTTCTTTAAAATTCATAGTTCTCACTGCACTTAGTTTTGTGATCATCTGACTTAGTGGCAGTGGCTCCTACTCAAATTCTGCAAAGCCAAGAGCTGTGTGTTTTGCACACAGCAGAGGCATAGAGTGGGCATTTGGGAAATAGCTGCATTTAGCAGAAGCTGGCTGAATGAACTATGGAAGGATGTCAGATGAGGGCTCACAGATTGACAGCTTTTTTATCAGCCCCCCATCCCATGATCTGTCTCAATTACTCAATGATTTGATGGCATGATAATAGGAGTATACATAAATAAATACAGACATACTTTTACCTATGGGGAGTTTCAACTTCTTTCGCAGGGAGATTCTGCGGGATCGTGAGCGGGCACGCCGGTCGGAGGTGTTCCCTGAGTGGGCAGTGGTACATTCTGAAGTATCCTGCTCAGACTGGCTGCTGGTATCACTTGCTGCACTTTGGGATTTGAACATCTTGCGCCAGAAATCTTTCCGTCCCAGATTGCCCCCTTGCATTTGCTCATCACTACGGAGAAGTAGAGTATAGGGTTAAATAACATCTAACAGCTCAGTGTCCTCTGGACTCCCAGCTATGGTTTCAGGCAGATTGTGCAGAATGTCCTTTGGTGGGCTGGTATGAGAACAGTGGGAGATACAATGGAAGTCTGAAGACCGAGGTTGATACTGAGATCTTCCTGAAAACAGTGCTGTCTCAGCAACCAAGTGGTGGTGGTCATTTTTTCCCCACTTTAATAAAAAGACTAAATATCATTATAGATGTATAGTGAGATATCCACCCCGCCCGCACCTGTTGCACTGACCACGCCCATTGGGGGTTGGGACAGGTGCAAACATGTTGGCTATCTCACTACAATTTCCCTTTTAGATATCCACAGGTGAGGGCAGGGTGGATATCTCACTGCAGTAGATGGTCCATCTATAGTATGAGTCATAATAGCAAAAGCACTTAAAATGCCAGGAGATATTTAACTTTTTAAAAAGCACCCTGGCTCCTGGGCAATGTCCCACCCCTCACCACAACACAGTATCATACTTGATGCCCAACACACTCTTGAAATCATTTCCATGAATCAATGAATGACTGAAATTTCATCTCCATATTCAGGGAATACATCATTCTACAGTCAATTAAGTTGAAGAAAGTTGTCAAGTTTAAAAGTGAAAATATAGGGTCGACCAAAAGGGTTAGTCACGAACCTGAAAGAAGGTTTTTGAAGGTACTGTGCAGAACTTTATCTTGTAATAACAATAATAATAGTAATAGTAATAACAAGGTAAAATTCCATTTTTAATCTCCTAAATTAGCAGAGATTAAGGTGATTTGAAAGAGAAAACAGTGTCCCCAACATATTACCATGGAGAGATAAAATATTTTGGTGTTTTTTAAATACTTATATTCTATGCAACAAGATATCTTTTTGACTCAGAAATTCAATTTCTAAGAAGTAATATCAAGGAAAAGATGGGATTATATACTAAGACATGAAAAGGTATGAGTGGCCAGTGTGGAATAGTAGATATAATCTCAATGGCTAAGTCTGAGAAGACAGCTGAATATATTGTGGGATTTCCATGTGGTGATAGTTTCTTGGCTTTTTATATCATTGGCTAGAAATACCATTAGCCAATTCCCAGTGTACATTATTACCTTACTTGTAAAGGCCCAATACTCCCACAATAGCCTTATATACATAATTCCTTCCTGGTATAAGTCAGGTTTTAAGATGAATGCAAGCCAGTGCTATTGGGGCTAAAATTCAAAGGCTTTACATTATCTTGGTTCCATTATTCCAAAATAAGAATGATTTAATTGAAAAAAAATTAGTTTAGAAGAAGGTTGACTTAGGCACTATTTATGACACATTGTCAAATTAAAGGCAATGATCAAATGAGTTAAATGGGAAACAACAATGTTAATAACCTTTAGAAATCACACTGGTGATCATGTGTCTGGGTGTGAGTTTGCATGTGCATGCTCAAAAATGTTAAAAGCATAAAATGCAAAAGGTTCTCAGAGGTATCTTTAGCAGTGGTATTTTGATTTTTCAACTTCTCTGTTTTCCACTTGAACAGTATGCTCTTATAGTTTGGAAAGAAATGATGCTAGAAACTGTTCTAGCAGTGTGATGACACATGTTTATGGGTTTTCATGTAACTTTTATTTACAAGTTTTAGGGTAGAGTGCTGAATTGATCTAAAAACTGACAATATTGTAAAAACACAATCATCACCAGCAGATGGATGAGGATTCAGATTTCAAATGCCATCAATGTACTTCATATTTTAATTTCTTCTAAACTATGGCATTATATTTATGAAGAGGCATATATTTAAAATAGATTTCTGCAATTGACTGGTCTGTTACTTTGGAGGGCACCACTGTGTGCCAAGTTACTCTTGCCTTCCTGGAAGGAGAGGCATGAGGGTAAGAGCCTGTTTAATGCAGGGATGAAGAGAATCTTCCATATTCGGGGAAGCTGTCATTTGTGACCTTCCCTGAGAAACTGCAACATCAGCAGCAAGGAGCAGTAGAAAAGCCATTACATTAAACCATTCCTAGAATTACTGACTCTGGGTGTTGAGTACTTAGGAAGAATAAATAGCACAGGGTGAAAGGCATGGGGGAAGGGGAAAGAGAGAAAGAGAAACAGGGTGGAGGAGGAGCCAGGACTAGCAGAGGGATTTTGCAGCTTTCTCTGGGCTAAACAAAGGATATTTAGTGTGTTCACTTCCTGGACCCATTTAAGTGATAGAAAAGTTCCAACTTTGAAGATTCATGACACTATTCCAAGATGAAATAATAATGGCATGGCATATTAAAACAGGCATATACCAAATGCAGAGGAATTTGGTCTGTCTACAGAACACCAAACAAAGAGAATATTTGGAGTGCTTAAAAAAAAAAAAAATCAAACGTGTTAGTACAGCCAATTTTAATTTTAAAATCCAAATTATCTTTTATAACATTCTCATTATCAGATCACTTCAATAGTTGCCAGTGTCAACTGGGAAGGTGGTGGAGGGGGGAACCTGTTTCTTCTAGTGTCTTTTCATGGGTCCTCTGGTCACTTGAACATGGAATTTTATCAATTCTTTATGCCCCCTTTGGAGCTAAATTTGGACTCTTGCCATGTCTTTGAGGGTTTCCTCATAGGAAACATAAGGTTTACTTTTGAGGAAGAACGTTAAAGCAAATGAAATGAAAGTTTACTGGTAGTCTGACAGTTCCGTCCTCTAATCCTTGCATATCATCCATCCATTGAATGCATATCATTCATTTATGCTTGAAATGGATGTATTCACTTTCTACAATGAGCAAAACTCCATCTCAGTACTAAGGCTTTAGCAATAAATATGTGTGGTTACTGGGCCAATTGACTTGACTGACTCACTAAGAGGCATAATCTCTAAGATTCTGAAGCACATATGAACTGTGTGGGCATTTGCGGTTTTGAATATTTCAGTTATATAGGTTTGTATTTGATAGATGTTGCTTCTTACCTTTAATTCACCTAGTTATGCAGGTATACTTAATGCAGATATTTTAGTTATACCTAATATGCCTAGTTATGCAGGAAGAATACCCAAATACCTATAATATTCTGAAGAATTGCTAGAATGTACTGAATAAGGGCTTTGGGAAGCAAAATTTTACACCTAGCACTCTACTTGTGTGTAAGTAATTCCTCAAAGAAAAATGAATAACATGGGCATCCCATGGGCCTAAGCTGTGTATTTAATGTCTGTACTAACCCTTACATCTTGTTTGGTCACTAATTTGAAGGTGATTTTGATTTTCGTCAATATGAAAGACAGAGACAGACTGATATTAAGACACTGGAAAGGTTCTAAGACCATGATGCTGTGGAATAGAGCCTATGTTTCAGCTAAAATTCAGCACTTTTGCAATATACCCTACCTTTTTTTTTTTTTTTTTTTTTTTTTTTTTTTTTTTTTTGGAAAAAAATGAGTGTTCATTGAATTTATTGAGGAGTAATTCATTCACTTTAAAATGTGAATTTTAAACAAAGAAGTCTATGACACCTCACATATACACTATTTTTCATATTTATTTCTTGCATAGTGAAAGGCAGTGGTTCAAGAAAGTCAAGATGGAAAACACAGTTAGAGATCCTTCCTATAGGCACAAAGGTTGTTATTTGGCCTCCCCTAGACCAATATATGGCATTGGGAATATAATTCGAAGGGCAGAGGGCAATGTTTCAAGGAAATGAAAGCAAACTAATAATAATTAATATATATATATATATATATATATATATAAACAAACAAAAACACAAAAACAGTTTAGAAAGAAAACTTTGTTCCATGTGAAGTGCCCAACTCTGCGTTGGAGACAAAACTCAACTCTACTTACTGCTCTGGTGTCTGTGAGGGGCGACCAGACATGAAGCTTCGGCATTCTTCAGGTGCAGAAGATACCTGGCCTTTATCTGCGATGCTTCCTGCCTCTGACCTGCACAAATGATACATTTCACCAGTCACAATGGGGTAGATCACCACCGTTTAATCTTTCAGATGCTCTACAAAGCAAACCCTCTTCAATTAACAACATACCTGGTTGTTATCATTTCTCACTGTGAGTCCATTTTGTGTGGAATTTGTAGTTTAACACTAGACTTGTAACCTTATTCTATACCAGTATTTCACTATAGCAAGCCGAGGCTTTAGATGTAAGCCAAAGTGTTAGCTTAGGTGCTCTTTTAATCCCTGTTAGGGCTTTCTAAAATACAGTGGGCATGGAATAAATGCACAATTACTGGAAGGATAAACCACAGAATATTGCATACCAGTTTTTTTTCCTGGAGTGTTGGGAACTGAATTCAGGACACTGTACAAGCTAAGTAAGTACTTTACTACTGAGCTATGTCTCAGCCCAGCAATTTATCTTTTTACTATCTCTAGAATACTGAACAAAAGAACATGGTAAAATAGAAATTATTTTAAAAAGACTAAAACAAAGATAACATTTTACCATGTAATTGAGAAATACAGAATGAAATTTGAGTACATGAGCTCATTCCATTTTTTAATACACAATAAAAAAATTTATTTCACTCTTGGCTCTGGAGGCTTGGGAACCCGAAGGCAGGTGATGATGGCTTCTTACTGTTTTGCTATGGCAAATTATGGTACAGGGCATCACGTGGCAAAATAGTCAGTTGTCAATAGAATGCTCACTCTCTTAACAAAGCCACTTCCATGAAAATCTATGAAAACACTAATCCATTCCTGGGGCAATCTTTGCAACACAATGATCACAAACTCTCTACCCTTACAAGTCATTTCTTTTAAAGCTTCATTTGGACTATGATACCAGTTGTGCAAGATAGCTTTACCATTCCTGCTCCAACTTTGTACCCTATCAGGAAACACATGGACAGAATGACAAAGGGTAACATTCTTCTGACAGTTCACAAACACTGATATTCACAGAGCTCAAGCTTCCAACCTTTTACCGCCTGCAGGCTTAGACTCCTGTCCATTCTCCTCCACCTTTTTCCCAGGTGCTAATTTTTCAGCGCTGTCCAGAAGAGCGCTAAGAGCCACTCTCCTGAAGACATTCCCATGGGCTTCTTTGATAAACTGGACCAGCTGGCGGATGTCACAGTACAGTCCCTGTTTGAAGGCAAGAAGAAGGTTTGGGAGCAGTAACGCTAACCAGATGGCTGTAGGGTTAGATGTGCTAGGGAGAGAAGTCAATTGCTTGGGTTTTGATGATCAGTGAAGTCATGAAAGAATGACAACAAAACACTGCTGTGGTAACAGATGTGTTTGTTTTTTTCTGTTGCTCCCGTGGGAGAATGCTACCCTTCATATTCACTACAGGAGAGGATGAGTGGTATAGTTAGTTAGCTATACCACTCGGAAGACATCAGTCTACAGTCTTTAACACTGGATTCCCAACTTTTCTCTCTTAATTGTAGGTTCTGAAGAGAACTTTTTTTTTTTTTTTTTTTTTTTTTTTTTTTGCCTGAAGAAAAAAAAATGACAGTCAGATTTTTTTTTTTTTTTTAGAATGGAAACTTCATCCCCTATTGAGCCTCTCCAAATGGTCTGGATTATTATGGTGAAATGTTGAGTAATTCATTTAGGTACATCTAACAAACCTGATTATTCAGTCATAACATGATGAACTTTCCCGGACATACTTAGTAAATGATATGTATGCTTGTAGCCACACAGAGTGTGAACATGACCATGAATCTAAGACTGTGCAGAAGGTGCTATAATGCTGGTACACTGGTGGGTTGACATTTTAAAAAATGTGTCTATACTTATTTTTCCTTGAGATACTAAGTTTTTCTTTCAGTACCTTCATCCCTGCCTTCCTTCTTTAAGTGGTAGTTACTACATTCTAGGTCTTTGTGGTAAAACAGAATCTAGAAACATAAAAAAATTTACCTTGATATCTTTGTTTTTTAAAACCCTAGTACCATGGGACAACTATGCCCATGATCTTCAGGGAGGCAGAAGGAAGGACCCCTGAGGACAACAGAAACAGCATCCATTTCAGCCTGTGGGAAACAGGGCCCAAGGCCTTTGCTCTGCTCTTCACTTGCTCATTCATGGAAGACAAAGCTAGCTAAGAGCATAGGTTCTATTTTCACCAGGGCATGCTCAGGCCTACATATCTGCAGAGAGCACTATGTAAATAATAGCTACCTAGGAATGGCCCTGGTCTGTGGAGACTCACTCTGGACACTGTCCTCTGTGTCCAGAGTGTCCACTGTGGAGTGGAAAGCTTAAGAATGAGTTTGACTTTTAGTTACTTTCATGGGATAGGAGTTCAAAGGCAGTTCTATGGATAACTAAAGTGTTTAACACTTCTTCTACATATGAAGTTGTACATGAAGATTGGTAAGAACTCATAGGCATTATAATCAACTTTAAAAATCAAGTCTATCCAGGACAAAGAGGAATGCATGAATGGTGTCTGTGAGATCCAAGATCATATGTTGGATTGCCATTGACCATCAGCAAATGCAAATTCCATTTGTTTGTGAAAATCATGTTTATCTTAAATGAACCACTTCACAATTTAGAATAATATAGAATAATGTCCTCCATTTAGTAAAATAGGGGATAGTTCCATATGTGTAAATGGGCTCATTTCTATATACAAACCATAGTATCTAACAGATGTAGGAGGAGTGTTCTTTTAGACCCCAAAGTCACCTGAATTCACCTAGCTGTGTTAAATTTATCTTCCTAGATCTACACTGACTATCTCAAGACATCCTGTTCTCCTTGGTAAGACTTGGGCATTTCATAATAGTTTTCTTCCAACACTACTTATAACTTCATTTGATTAATTACTGCATGCTTTTATGAAGGACAGATAAGGATTATGATGTTCAAAAAAAAAAGTGGAACAAATTTCAATAGCATATTTGATGAATTCTTAAAAATAAATACAGTTTCAAATAATTCTTGGAGTAACATCCTTTCATATTTCATGAACCAATAAAATGTTATCACCTTTCTGAAAGGCTAAAAGTACCTGTAATCTTTTTACCACTCTCTACAGAAACTTGTGGGGTGGAGCAGGAAGATCAGTCAATCTATAGATAGGACAGATGATTAGGGCCCCATGGTAAGTTAGGGTTGACATGGGAAAAAATGGATACTGTGACTTTAAGACTTCAGCTTTTCTTCCTCTAGGTCACTGAATGAGAGTTGCTATGAGGAAGAGGGGGGACAGCTAAGACCAGCTCTTAGGAAGGGAGGTTGCTTCTCACCAGATTCTCAGGGCTGTGTAGCTCATGTGTGGTTGAGGCACAGCGTGTAATGAGGGACTTGAACATGGCACCGACGATAATGCCTTCCACATTTTGGGCTGTGGATTTGTTATCCACTGTGGTGAAGTTATTTCCAAATCCAGCTTTGTCTGGAAGGCAAAGACACATGTTAAAGGCGATAAGCTACACAGCTGAAGGATGTAAGGAAGTGTCTGGCAGCTGGGAAGCTGGGAGGGTCCCTGTGAAAGCACTGACACGGGAGATTAAAGATACACCCAGTGTAATGATCCCTGTGCAGATTAGAAAAATATTGGTCTATGTCACTCTGACATGGTGCTTGCAGTGGATCATTTGGATTGGTTAATATTAGAAAGGAAAGGGGGTTGCGAGGGAGAGAGAGACAGAGACAGAGGTGGGGGGAGGGAAAAGGAGGGAAGGAGGGAGGGAGAAAGGGAGGGAAGGGGAAGGAAGGAAGGAAGATGAACTCATTAGTTTCTCCATAGAGAAAATATAGCATGACTCAATTTTCTGTGGTGAGGAACTCGGGCTTTTTAGGGGAAACTATCCAGTATGTCAGAAGGGCATGAGCTTGGTCAGCATGAGCTATGCAGCAAGGGTGAAGTGATAAGAGTCTTTGCAGATTTGCTCTAGGCCTGGAGGGAACTGAGTGGAAACTCTTCCACTCACCCTCAGAGCAACCTCCATAAAATGGAGCATGAAAAATGCTGGACATCAAAAGTCTGTGAACCTCCGTGGTATTTTATAGCTTTTTTTTTTTTTTTTACATATCCATAGATATTCAGAGGACATATATGTATTCTGTGCCTTTGCAAAAGGAATCCTCATGACACGTGAGCCTACTATTGATTGTGAGGACATATACAGCTGTCAGATTGATGGCTAAGAAACTGTGTTGTCAGTCTAATTCACCGTGACTCATTTTACAGCTCAAGCATCCTCAGAGGAACATAACACGCTTAATTATCAACCTTTTGCTGTCTGGACCAATTGATAAGGATTTATTTCCAGGGTTACACTATTGAAAGGAATCTGCAGTGTGTGTTTAGAGTTCTTGTGTCAAATTAGAGATAAGGGGTGGAGAGAGAGAGAGAAAGAGAGAGGGGGTAGTTAAGTTTATAATCAGGATCTTCTTTCAAAGATCATAGGTAACTAGACAATAAAGAATAGGACACAACCAGGAAAAATTGCTTCTAAACACACGGAGATTATACCATAAATTAGTCAACTCCATTCATGTATCATATGAACAATGAATCTATGCTAAAAAGTCATTCTTTCAAAGCTCAATTCAAAATATGCATTTGATTCAACCTGGGCGCCAGTTCCTTAAGGTGTCTGCATTCAGAAGGTCCGAAAGGAAAAGGAGGTCACTGTGTACAAATGTAATTGATACTTTCTACTTTCACCCTGCAGCTTAGGCCTCCATACTTCTTTTAAAGCCACTGAACTACAAATGGGCTGTTGCTCTCTATATTTGCCTAATTTAAATAAACTACGTCTATATGTACATGTGCCAGTTAGGTCACTGCAGTGTTTATGCTAATTACTTTTCTCTCTTAGTTTATTATGTAAAATACCAAACCCTAAAAGTGGCATATTGTAGGTACTCATTTCATACTTGTTAAACTAGTAAATATATTCCCTTATCTTTTGATTTTGGTCTCGATTGTCATGCACAGGTCGGGTGAGAGACAGAACTACCAAATCCCTATTCAGTGAGGTAAATTACTTTGTGAGGACATCATTGTGTCATAGGGTAATTTGGAGGCATCTCTTGTTTACATTACACACAGTCTCACACACATATATGAGCATATGTGAACAGGCATGCTTAAATATTTCTCTTCTCTGAGTTCTAGCCCTAGACACTGAGCATGCCAGGGAAACACTACCTGCTTCATCTCATAGTGGCTGCTCCTCAAACTCAGAGTTGGCTTTACTTACTGTCAGTGACTGGCTCCATACAAAATCCTAGCAAAGCATGCAAGAAGTCCACTACATTATTGAGAGAGTCCTTGTTCACATAGTCCCTCATGGTTTGTCGGAACTGCATCTTATCTAGCTTGTATAGCTTAGTGAGGCAGCTCTGGGCCTGCAATGAAGGAAGAAAAGTGAAAAAGTCACAAGTACCAGCTTAAGCTCCAGACACCGTTAGTCTGAGACAAAAGTTGCAGAAGGCAAAGCCTCCCACCCACTCCCTCATACTGCTGCCAGATCCTCCCCATGCTAGGCCAGGTTGTTTGAACAAGAAATGGACAGAAGCCAACTAGGAAGTAACAAGGAGCTTGCACTTGGAAAAACCACTCCTCAGAAAAACTCAAGTTTTTGCACCAAGAAGAACTCAGTCTTTGCACCAAGGTCAAGATTTTAAGATCTAATGAAAATAACTCAAGAATCAAAATTGATGTAAGCCATAGAACCCATTGTCTACTCTTAGAAAAACTCAGAGGCTTTATGTAACTGGAGAAAGCACATAGCTTTCCTGCATAGGCACTTTGAAGTTTGATAGGTTTAATGGAGAAAGTGAAAATAAGAGTGAGTGGAAATCCAATGGCCTTATACCTCTTTTGATTAATTAATTGATGGGTTGTTTTTTTGTTTTTGTTTGTTTGTTTTTTGTTTTTTGAGACGGATCCTCAAGTAACCTATTATGGCCTTGGACTCTTTATTTATATAGCTGAGGATGACCTTGAACTTCTAATCCTCCTGTATCCACCTCCTGAATTCTGGGATTACACCATCACACCCTGCTAATGTGCTCCTAGATATTTTACTCAGGGCATCATAGATGCTAGACAAGCACTCTACCAACTGAGCTTTTGCCACAGCTGTACAGTGATCTCTTCTAAGGCCAAGAGGAAAAAAGTTCCTTGGAACATATAAGAGGCATAAAATGTTATATTCATGTTTTATTTGTCTGAATTTGAATGTGAAAGTATGATATTTAAATAGAATTTGGTCCCATGACATGGTCCTTCTGCTCAAAAATAACATTATATTTCCTATGATCTAGTAAATAATTTTGCCACCATGCAAAGTAAAGGGGAGTAATTCCTACCACCAGCAACAAAGTCACAATCACTGACAGTAGAGGTTTCAGACAGAATATTCTCATGCTACTGGGAACCCTAGGAGGCTGCTAGAGTTCTCCTACTATTAAAAGATAAGCCTCATTTACATGGTGCTTTTGCTCTAAAATACACATTTCTTGTATGAAAAGGCATCATGTCTGACTTTATTATTTGCTGATTGTCCGTTTCTCAAAGTTGATGAAAGTGAGGTCTAAAGAAATCAAGGGTTTTGTCCAAGCTGATTCTGTAAATTCTGCAGTAGAGTCAATACCAGAAGTCTGTGTCTTGCCTACTAAAGTGTAATTACTTCTCGTGTAAAATAGTCTCATTAACACATCAGACAATGATGGTCTTGGGGAACTATACTTAGATACCAGCCACTCATAACAAGGAGTTGATATGACTAATACAATAGATTTATTGGTGTCTTGAAGGGGGTATATGAGCAAAAGAGACACAAAAAAGGCCTTGAAGATGGGATGAAATGGGGAAATGGAGGAGGTGTCTGGGCTGAGGGTAAGGGTTAAAGGATCGAGGAAGCTGATGCAACTGGGGGAGACCACCTTGAGGATGGGAAACTTTGTAGTCAGTGTAGGCATGAGGGAGGTGAACCTTGAGAACTGGAATTCTGTTGATGTTTTTACTAGTAGCCTAGAAGAAAAAGGAACTTGGAATTCACTGGATAAGCTTTTTCGTATGATATTACTTTAAGTGCTCCATCTGTATCATAGAGTTTTTTCCTTCTTCCTTCACTTTGTTTTAGAAGATTTGAAACCTGGAGGTTTTGTTTGTTTGTTTTTGTTTTGTTTCGTTCCAGAGAGCTTTCTAGTTACCATATCTTAAAGGGAATCATGGTTTTTGTTGTTTTGTTTTGTTTTTATAGAACAGATGTTGTTTTGTGAAAAAGTGATGTTTACAAAGCATTTAGCAAGAGGCAAGCAGATCTCTGTGAGTTCTAGGCCAGCCTGGTCTACAAAGTGAATTCCAGTACAAGCTAAAGTTATAGAGAGAAACCTGGTCTTAAAAAACAAAGCACTTAAGTACAAGGTGCTCTGCATTGATTCAGTTATCATTCCATAAGTGATTTGTATAGATCTTCGCTGTTAATATTTATAGAGAGAATAAAAGACTAAACCTCTGAAGTACAAATTACTTCATGTTTTGTATAAAACACACCAAAAAGGTACAGTTTCATATCTCTGATGTGCAAACTGCAAGTCTATCTGCAATGCTTTTAGAGTTCAATGGGAAATTTAATCAAGCTTGCTGAACCACATAGCTGGTTCCTGGTTAAGGGGCTGGAGGTACAACGAGGAGCTCAACTCTGAACGTAGTGATTCCATGGTTATCTTATGCCTTTCCCTTCACCAGGGCTGTGAAAGTGGAGCATGAAGAGACCAAAGGGATTCGCTGCCATACTCCCATCCAGGTACCGTGCCTCCTTGGGTCAATGACAGAGGCTTCCCCACCCTGCCTTATAAAGTTGTGACTGCAGAGCCCTAAATGAAGGTGTCAGCACTGATTCTAGAGTTCTGATGATTCTACTCCAGAAATGTGCATGAAGAGGTCTCCAAACTTTGCCAAGTCAGCATCATCCGTGTTGGTAACCTGCTGGGTTTCTCAGTCCTCGATAAAATCCCAAAGCCATACTGAATTAAAGAACCTCATAGTCCCTTCAGACTCAGCTGCTCCCAAGGTTTCTCTGGCTCTGCCAGCAGTCCATCTGGGTAAGCATGGTGGTAAGAGCACTTGCTTCCAAAGGGACAGGTCCCTTGCCTTGCTCAATGTATTTACATGCCTTCCCCCCATTCTGTTTGAAAGCTTCAATCAATTCATCCTGATCTTCTACCCAGTACACAATTGGAATTACAAACTCTGATATCACATGACACTCTGGGCAAGACTTTATGATCGGGTTTTCAAACTGCTAGGCACATCTTCATTGACGGATTCAGGACAAGCAGTAGGAGCTGTTGCAGCTGGAGAGAATGCCACACCTCCTCTCAGATGCAGATGTCTTTTCCAAGAGAACCTCCATACAGATGCTGCACACTTTGTCCTGGCTTGCTTGGAAGGCAAAAGCCTTTTCCATCTCATGTTCAAATGTCAACATACACTTATGAGTTTTCTTTTGTTCTAGGTCAAAGGGGTACAGGCCTTCAAGCCCGCAGATCTCACACATGTCCCTATGCAGGTAGACACAGGCATCTCCAAACCAGCACTCCCCGGCAGCAGAGTAGGGGCATAATTGCTGCTCCTTGCTATAGGAGCTGCTGGCCACTCCTGATGACATCTAAGTAGGAATGGGGCTTCATCTCTGGGCTTGTCTGATGGTCATTGCAACCACCTGGATTATTCACTATGCTTGGGAGAGTCTTGTTTTCAGCCAGGCCAGTGAGGTTTCAGTCTCTGAGCACCAGCATCATCTTCTCTAGCTTCTCTGGTTCATGCAAATGCAAATGTGTCTCTCAAAACAGATGGGGCAATGTCCAGGGAAGGATGAGGATTAGGCAAGCCAGAGGATGGCAAAGAGTGGGATGCAGGGCCCACTGCTCTACCTGCTGCAGGTGGGAGCTTTGCATGATCATACCTGCAGCGTGCACCATAGGCACAGTATCCCTTCTGGTAGTATTTGCAGATGGTGGATGGCTTGCTGTTTGCCAGGTCAAATGAGAACAGGCACTGGCTACTTTCCAGACACACGCCATGCAGAAAATACTGGTTCAGGGCTCATGGCAGCCTGGCCACAGGCTGGAGTCTTATAGCTTCCAGCACCACCTATCCTGGCCCCTCCCTGCCCCACTCTGCCCAGACTTTAAAATTTTTATTCTGAGAAAACAACTTAAGTTTTTTCAAGAAACATAAAAACATTAATTAATTTCTTTTCAATAATTTAGAACTACTATTTAGTCATTCGTTTAATAGCCTAAGAAGTATCAAAAGAATTACATGTCAGAACCTTTAGACACTTTTTATATTTTCAAGAAATATAAAAGTATTAATCAATAAACTTCTTTTCAATAATTTGGGACCAAAAACAAAATTAGATTAATAACCTATGAATTATTGGAGTTAGAACCATTAGGCACTTAGAGATATATTAATTTACAAGAAAGTTTGTGTTTGAAAATTCTATGGTGCAGAAACACAGAACTATATAGTTCTTAAACTAGACATTTTCCTGGGGATGTTTCTCAAACTTGTGCATAAAATCTCCATAATGAGTACAGAAGAGGTCTAAAAGATCAGAAAGCAATTGGTCAAGTCATCAGGTTGAAAAAGTAAGTAGAAAAATTGACTAACCAGTATCATGGAAAAACAAGATATTCTTGGCCATGCAATGACAGCAACCTCTCTTCTGACCCAAGTGGTCTGCTTTCCATCAATTCAGAAAAACAGAATACAGTTCTCAAAGCCAGTTTACACCTTCAGGAAGATGCTTCTTTTTATATCTGAAGTTGAATTCCATGAAATTGGTCTTCTATATGAGGAGTGATGTGTTTTCCTTAGCGTTGACAGTTTTTATTCATTGTGTAAGGATCGATTCAAGGGAAGCTTTTATTGCCTTATTGTTGTTTTTAAATTATTATTATTATTATTATTATTAATTTTTAGTCTCAAAATCTAGATCTTGGTCAAAATGTCTGAGTTTGGGAATTTAAAAGTTAACCACTATGACTATACCTCCCATATATAAACAATAAATCAAAATGCTATAACATAATTGAATACAAAATAAAGAAAAATGGATAAATTGATGGATGGTATATGATGCATTAAGCAAGACATCTAGCATGCTAATACTGTATGAACATTTCGTGACAAAACCTACTCCAGAGAAAATGGGCTGGCATTAGGTTTTGACATGATCCTAAAACTCTGCAAAGATATGCCAAAGAGATTTGTGCTCAAATTTACATGAAATTTTCATTTTTAAAAGAATATTTTCTTATGATTTCAACTCCAATATAGAAATGAGGCAACAAGCCTGGATCAGGACGTTGGAGGTAGGTTGTTGCTCAAGGTAACAGTTGGGGGATAACTGTTGGTAGAGGCAATTGAAAGTGAGCTGTAATAAACCACATTCCATTATGCAGTCCAATGGCTGCCCATGTGCAGAGTGTCAGGTTTCATACAGTTTAAAGGAATATGATCTCAAACATAGAGAAGTTGAGGGGCATTCTCAAGCAAAGCAGCCAGAGGCCTGGCTACTTTTACAGTCCTGTTTTGTCTCAATAAGGGCCACTTTCCATTTCTAAGTAAGAATATCAATGTCTTTGACCCCTTCTTCTAATATAAAATGTTTCTTTACTACCCACATGATGGATGGAGCCTCTGCACAGACCACCAGATATTTGCTAGATGTATACATCTGTGCAAAGTTCTTTCAAACTTCTATCTAGATTGATTGTCTGATTCTGTACCCTTTTTCCAAATGCTCTGCAATAAGCAGGAGGCAGACCAGTTTTCCCAATTAAATTTTCCTAAAATTCGGTTTTAGAAGTCCTGAGATGCCTTGTGGGAATCCTCTCATCCAAAGATGGTATTAGTTGCCTATGAAATACCATATTTTCAGGGAACGTTGACCCTCATTGCCAAAGGACTCATTCCCCATTGAGAAGTAGGAAAGAGAAAGAGACAGGAAATGGAATCTACTTTAATTCTCTTACATTCTCTCGGAATACCTGGTGTCTCAGACGATCTCCAGAGAGCCCTCGGTGTCCTTCTCCACAACCATAGGCACATCCCAAAGACTTCACTATTTTGATGAGCATAGTAAGAGCAAGCCTATGGTTGCTTACAGGTATACTTTCATCCTAGTAACCATGATTGAGAAAGAAAGAAGCCTGTTGACTTTGCCAGCAAGCTTTTTTTGTTGTTGTTACTAGACTTCTGTTTTATAAAATTAATGTGTTACAGAAATTTAGAAAATACAATTGCCAAGAGATCAACAAATGCACCTTTTTAAAACCTTGTACATGAACCAGCAGAACAAAGCTGCAGTCTGAATGTTCTATGATGATATGGAATTTGAATGCATTTATTACAAGACATACTTTTATATCCTTGATGGATGATCAGAACAAAACCTAGCGAGAGACATGGGATGATCAACAGTGAACACAAATAGCTTTTCTTAGAGACTATCTTTATGAATAAGTTTCTGATAACACCACCAGGCAAAGATAATTATTAGCTCCCTGAAACTGATCAAAGTCTGGAACTTGTGAATCTTAGGGTAATAAGACAGACATTTTGAAGAAAAATCTCTGAAGGCCTACTTCCATCATATTGCAATACACATAATAACCATAAACAAAGTAGAATGTATAGAACTCAACAAATATTCGGCTGAACTCTCTTCATATGGTTCATCAGGAAGACTCCCCCCCCCAAATAAAAACATTATGAAATTTATTTTTTGTCCCTTTTACTTTGTGGGATGGGAATTGCAAAAAATAAAAAAATAATAAAAACTAGAATTCTTTCTATTGGAGAAAAGGTAAGCTGTTACTGAGGGATAATGCTGAGCCCACAGTGGGAGGGCCATTGTCGTTTAATAGCTGAAGGCTCCTTAGCCCTTCTGGCCATGTTTAATTGTCAGCATCTGCTGATACAAAGAGCCAGGATTCTTGCTCATGATTGCACCTAGTTGCTTATGGTGATACAAGACAATAGCAGAAATTAATCTCTTTTACCTTTCTGCCCATGGAGTAATGGTACTAATGGCTATTCTCCCTGTATCATAGGTTTTCCATACAGACCATATGAAATAGTGGAAGGGAATTACTCCACAATCATGAGGGTTTTTTTCCCATTAGTCAAACAAACAGAAAGAATACTGCAATGTGGGTAGGTTATGAAGGAGCTAGGGGGTTACAGAGGCATTATCTTGTACCTTAACATAGTGCAGTGGGATCTCTCCTCCCCTAACATTATGCAACTGGTCCTCCTGTTGTCCATAAACTCAGGTAGCAGATGTGGAGTGGGGCCCTAGAGAGCCACACTTCAGTAATGAAATGTCTCTGAGCTGTAGAAATGGTTAACTTGCCTCAACTGAAGACCTCCTCCAGGTGCAAAGCTGCCTCTATTAACCACCCAACATCCTGTTGTTTGCCTGAAGGAATCCTTTCTCTAGTGACTAGTCCTGGCACTAGTAAGAAGGGTCACTTTGCATCACCTGGTGACTACTTTGAAGAATAATTCTGAGTCCAAAGAACAAAGAACGTACTGAGTCCAAAGTAATTATGTATTTGCTAAGCAAGAAATGGCTTTTAGTTTGGATGCAAATTTTAACTTCAATATCTAACAACTATGTCACCTTGGGCAAGCTACTTATATTTAAAATCCTGTGCTCTCTAAAAAGAAAGTGCCACTGATACCTGTCTTGTAGAGATTGTGAGAGGTAAGTGACAGTATGTGATGGTGTTATTTTTAGGCAGATGTCACTACTGTCCTTCAGAATCTCTTTATGCAGACTAGGTTCTTGAATGGTGGTTTAGTAAAGAGAGATTAAGACTGAGTGAATTTGTATCCTCACTGCTCCCCTTAGTTGGGCACATTTGGGTAACTCAGGAATACTGCAGGTTTTTGTAGTAGAACCTTGGAGAAGGTCATACTGACAAGGGTTTCTTTGGAAGGTTGAGTTACATAGATTTTTTAAAGTTATTATATGCTGTTTAAAGCATTTATAGTCCTGAAAACTCTTTGTACACATCCATCCAGCTTTATTTCTTTAGGCCTTCAGATGTCCTTAGGAGTTAGGTTGCTTTCACTGAAGATATGAAGAAAGATGTATCAAGCTACAGGCAGAAATCAGAGTTATTAAATGATATTTTAAGCTCTTATTATAGGCTAGTGGTCAATAGAGGAATAGAAATTAGCTTTCCCCTTCTCTCTTGCGTCCCCCATAGCAGGTTGCAAAAGCCAATAAACTCTAATTCCACTGCAAATAACAGATTGTTTTAAGGTAGAATAGACTTTGGTAGACCTTAAGGAATAATTGCAGTTTGATAAGTAACTACATAATATTTACATCTTGGTGGCTGCTTCAGAGATCATAAAATTTGACTTTAAAATATTCCACATGTGGTAATTTTGGTCAAAATAACATCTATTATATCATGTTATAATATTTAATATAATAATTACTGCAACTAATAATTATATGTAGTTTATAGTTACACAATTATATAATTTAATTAATTTTTATAGTTATTAATTAAATATATTTAAGATAGTATTTAGACATGATACATGATTAAGACAAGAGTAGAAAATTCTAAATAAAAGAGTAAGAACCCAAGAATATTGGAATAGATTTGTGGATGAGAGTTCATGAATTTTTGGTACAATATAAACAAATTGTGAGATGAAGAAATAGAATATTAACAGAGGAAATATGCATCGGTGGAGAGGTAGAAAAGAAAGTACTATTCATTTACATATTAAAATATGATATGGAAAATGGGTGATGCATAGTTTATGTAACAAATGCAGAACTGATTACAGTGTAATCTTTTACTTATAAACTCAGCATGATAAACAGATTGTCACCTGTTAAAGAATTCTCTGGTTTATTTCAATTTATGAACATGAATTTGAAGCTAAAACCTCCGACTGAAATCAGTGTAAGTTATATGAATTTAAATGATGATAATTTGTATCTAAACTTCAAATCACAGAAAAGAAATTCTTGATAAATTAAGAGATTGTAAGGCATAGTTATAAGCAGAAACAACCAATAATAATCAGAGGAAAACCTCAGGGATATGACACATTGAGAGTCCAGAGAACTGAGGCTGGGTAGTTGTTTCCATACAAGACATGTGTCAAAATAACACTGCACAATGTCAGACTGCTACATAGCTGTGACTCTCAAAATTCAAATACCAAAGCCTTAACTCTCAACCTGTTGATATTTGGAGACTGGCTTTGGGAGGTAATTGGAATTAAATGAGGTTAGACATTGGTGTCCAGAGCCAGGGGGCCTCACAGAGTAACTAGATGTCCCACAATTTGTTTGCACTTGCACAGAGAAGATCCTGGGAACATATAGTGATGGCAGTCACCTTCTAGTCCAAAGAAGAGGCTGTAGGAAACTCCTGCTGGCATTGGAGCCTTGAAATTTCCAGCCCCCATAAATGCAAGAAGTCAATGTCTCTTGACCAATCTCTATATTTTTTTTATAGAATCTGAGCAGATTGTTACTACACTAATGACTAGATATGCAAAGTCTTGGGAAAGAGGCTATCCTTGCTGTTAGACTGTGAATTATGATAACATAGGAGGTTTGAGATGCTATCTTTCAGAAATAAAATCACCAAGAAACAAAAGAAAAGAAAAGAAAAGCAAACAAACAAAAAACCAACCAACCAACAACAAAAAGCCAGTCCTAATATCCAATGAGTAACACCAACTTTCGGATTTAGAAGCCAAGCTCTTCTAAGTTTCTTCACATGCCTGCTGAGCACTTCATACCATGATTGCTAGAATATACTCTAATGACTCATTGATAGTCTAGTCAATAAATATCTAGGGGAAATAAGCAGAACAGATGCACACCCACACACACACACACACACACACACACACACAGAGAGAGAGAGAGAGAGAGAGAGAGAGAGAGAGAGAGAGAGAGAGAGAGAGAGCATCATATGCACACACGCACAAACGGAAAGGAATTCTGGACACCAAACTGCCAGAGGATACAGCAGGTAATGCAACCATACCTTCTCTTGGTTCTTCTCATTCTTCTCATAAGGGCCACCTCCACCTCCTCCACCACCTCCTCCATCTCCTCCACCGCCTCCTCCTCCATCTCCACCTCCTCCTTCTCCTGCTCCGCCATCTCCAGCTCCACTAGCAGAAGGGGCCCCAAACCCACTGGTGGAACTCGAAGACACGCCTTTGAACTGGAAAGTTCCCTCACTTGGTCTCTTTTCCACAGTCTCATTTTCCTTGTTTTCACTCTTCTTCCTATTCTTTTCTACACAGGGAACTACACCAAGTTGAAGCAAACACTCCACGATGTTTAGTGCCACATCACAGATTCGAGAACTGATGTCATGGTTAAGAACGAGATAAACAGCCTTCAGAACCACCTGCAGAACACAGAGGTAAACACAGGACAGTGAAGTTGCCCACATTCCTTTTCCAAAAGTCTCTTATTCTGTTTAACCCATTTCACTGGGCACTGCCTAGAAATGGTTATAAATAATTCAGGCAGAAGAATTCAAGACGTTTAGTAGCTCATTAAGCCTTCCAATCTTGCCAAGAAAGAGATAGCTGGGAGAAATAATGAAGCACATTGAGTTAATGAAAAAAAACAATCATTTGCCCAAATGAACACTTAACTGACTTTTTAAATACAGAACATTTTAATCCTTTGCATTTCACTTCCCACAAATAATAAAGAACAAGGGCTTCCTTACACTTATACCACAGGAACAATAACTCCCTCATGCTTGCATCATTATTTAACCTTCAATTTTAAATGCATAATATTTGCATGTTTAAATTATAATCCTTTATTGATGTTAATATATTAAATTATTTGCTAAGCCCTGTTCCATACAGTGTAATAAGAATGTTGGTAAATATAATTGTAAAATATAACAACTCTTTTATTGGCTAATAATGAGTGTACTCCGAAAAGGCATTCCTGAGACTGCAAGCTTAAATCTTTCAAGGACTTCTATTCATTTCTTTTCCTTCTGGCTTCATGGGAGGTTCATAGTCCTGGTGATTACATAACTAAAGAAAAATAAAAGAACTTCTTACTTTTATTGTAGAGAACACAGAGACCTAGTGGAGCATATGCTTAAATGCATTTACATATGTATATTCAGATTCACTAAGGTTTTGGGTAAAAAGCATTCTGAGATAAGATCAAATATAATAAAATACCTGGAAAAAGGCAAAAGGTATATGTAAGATTTTTGATACTCTTTGGTATTTTTATATGGATTGCTTCTTCATTTTAAGATTCAGCAAATAATTCTAAGATATCTACATGCCCATGTTAACCGATCTTCTAAAAATTACACTGAACTCTTCCTAGTCTTCATAAAGAAAAGTACCACCACTTACAGAAAGATCCAGCATGCCGTTCTTATGGACAAAGTTGTTGGTCCCATCGATATGTTCTGTGTCCTCCAGGTAGCTGTAGTTAATGCAGGAGTCTGTGAGGCTTCGTGGCAGGTTTGCGCATGCCAGAGGTTCGTGTGGCATCTCTGGGATTGGCACCTGGCTGCAGAGCTTCCTCATATGCTCACTGAAGAAGTCTGCATAGCCTACATTGAAGGATGCCAGAGTGGTGTTGAAGGTTGCAACTGTGATGGTGGAGATCTGTGATCGCACTGGGAAGACAAGAGTAAGATTTCCGTTTCCCTTGTGTGGACCTGATACACCAGCTAGACTCTTGGGCTATTTCTTACATTGTGACCGCAATCATAACTTTTAAAGATAATGGACTTACGGTCTCAAAGCTATTCTCAACTTGCATGGAACACTATGAAGACTATCTGATAATCTGACAGATAATGAAGGGCATAGGAAGCTGTGTTAGCATGCCTTCTCATTAAAACTGAAGCTAGAATTTTAATTTCATAATGATGACTTAAGTTGATAATGTTATATAGGCTTTATTTACTGTTATATGATAGCCCATTGATATAAACTCATTTATTTGAGATCTTTTTCTATGAGTTTATAGCTGTTAAATAAACTTCACTTTGTTAAACCAAACGCCAGTAGGAGGTGCACTGGTGTTGATAGAGATAAGAAGGAGATAAGAAAGACCTGGGTGTGGGGCACGGAGAGTAATCAGAACATACTATATACATACATGAAACTGCCGCCAAATGGTCAGCAAACATGCAATTCCAAGTATTGAAGGATAACAAGAAAGATTTATTTTTTTTCTACATGAGTAATGACCCTGAGATGTGTAATGACAACTAATAGATACCATTGTATATTTATAGTACAGTTTGGGGACAAAGGGGATCAAGGGATGAAGTTTATGCTACTATAAGAGCATACCGATAATGAAAAGAATAAACAATTCTGTTCAAAGAGAAGAGTAAGAAGCTGCGTAGTACCCAGAGACATACATTTGCTCCACATAAACCACCAAGATGAAACAGGATCTGTCAGAAAAATGAGCTGGTGGCCTTAGAGAGGACAGACTTCCTTCCCACTGATGTGTAGGAGCTGGCTGCCTTGGAGGTACAGCATGGAGGTGGACAAGCAATGAATGGAGACATTCTCCAGCCTTTAGGCTTACGATCCCTTAAAATATGTATGCATGCTTTGTCCTTGTTCTCCCCCTGGGTATGGTGCTCATCAAGCAGCATCACACATCCCCTACTACTAAGGCTGTGTTAAGAATAGCTAACAAGTAAATTTCTGGGCAATGTAAATGAGTGTAGGGTTTTGGAAATATGAGGATTTAGAGAACGAATCAACATAGTATGCTGGAGAGTTGTGTGCCAACTTGTCACAAGCTAAAGTTATGTGAAAGGAGGGGACCTCAGTTAGGAAAATTCCTCCATAAGGCATGCCTTTTGAGCAATTTCTTAAATTAGTGATTGATGGAGGAGGGTCCAGCCCATCGTGGTGGTACCATCCCTAGGCTGGTTGTCTTGGGTTCCATAAGAAAGCAGGTTGAGCAAGCCCCGAGAAGCAAATCAGTAAGAAGCACTGCTCCATGGCTTCTGCATCAGCTCCTGCCTCGTCTGAGTTCCTGTCCTGATTTCTTTCTCTAATGAAGAGTGATGTGGAAGCATGAGTCAAATAAACCCTTTCCTCCGCAAGTCGCTTTTGGTAATGAAGTTCCATCACAGCGTTAGAAACCCTAACCACGATGTGTGGGTAACGGTTGACGAATGGGAAAACATGAAAGAACTCTGCTTTCCTTCCCCATCCTTCCTACTGTCTACCACCCGTGCTGAACCTACCTTCCTTGACAGTGTTTTCTCCGTGGCTGTTGGAGTGGTCTGGCAGGTCGCTCACCAGAGTGTGATGAGAGTGGGAGTGCCTGGCACTCAGGCTTTCCATTTCCGTGGCTGCATCTGAGCTGCCCCGCCGGGTCAGTTTCCCTGCGATGGATGAGAGTAGCACAAGAAGCTTTTAGAGTCTAGAAGACTCTCTGCTGAGAGATTTTTGTTTTGTTTTGTTTTGTTTTTTTCCTAGGGGAAGGGCAGCAATAGAATGAAAGAGTGTAACAATGAGCATGAAGCTGTAACAAAATAGCAAGAATTAAACTTTTCTTGGGCATAGTCAAGGTCAATATGATTGAAGAAGCTGCCTGTGGTAAGGTCAGCTCCAATCTAAGACAAATGTCAGAGACCATCTGTTGTGGCTTGCTGGCTGTCAGCTTCTGATTTTAAGCTTCCCTTCTTAATGTGCCATCCAAGGCGGCGTGGGTGCCTATTGCCTTTGCTTTCCTTTTTTTTTTTTTTTTTTTTTTTTTTTTTTACAAAATAAGAATTAAGCAAAAGTCTGTCATTATGTGAAAAAAATGAAAATTTATATACAGGATCGCCCGGCCTCCCTTAAGAAGCCTCAGCTGGAGAGTGCCAAGCCCCAGCTAGATCCGCCTATCAGCTCGGAAACAACCAAAATCTCAACCTAGTCTTCAACCCCCATCGACTTTGACCCCCCCCCACATCATCAGGCCTCTGCTAGAGGTGAGTCTGAGACCAATTTGGGTGGAATCCCCCCCACACACCCTTCCTTGGGAACTCCCTGGATTGGCCCACGGATTTCGCTCCCCCTGTGTCCTGTCCCCATCAAGAGCGTTCCTGCCCTCCTTCTACCCTGTGCCCTACCCTACCCACTGTCCCCCTGGTTGAGCACTGGGACAGAGGGTGGAGCCAACAATCCTGCCACCTTCGGGGAACTTCCTGGAGCTGTTCTGAGCACACTAGACCTACCTATCCATGCAGGACCACCCAGAATCCACACCTGCCTAGTCTCTGATCCCCACCACTGGTCCTCTACCAGAGTACTGGGCTCCTCCCAGAGATCCACCTATCCCCACCACCAGGCCACTCTCAATCCCTGCAGATAGATTCTTGAGCCCCATCGCCCTGCCTCTGCTTAAGAGGCCTCAGCTACATCTGCCTATCAGCCTATCAGCGCTGAAACATCTTGAATCTCAGCCTAGTCTTCGACCCCCATCACCTTTGACCCCCATCGCCAGGCCTCTCTTAGAGAGACATCAGCTGGAGAGTCCCAGGCCAGGCTAGATCCACCTATCTGCATGCAGAACATCATGAGTCCCAACTTCAGGATCTTTGACCTCCATCGCAGATCTTCTGCTGGAGCCTCATCTTTAACCCTATCACCGGGCCCCTGCCTGAAGAGAGACATCCTAGAGAGCTTGGACCACCCAGAGCTACAGACATCGAACTTCTGACCCAACTAAGCCCACCTGGGGAGTAACATAGAGAGAGACCCCACTTACTGGAAGAAGCGATGGGAAGACGGCAATACAAGAAAACACCTAACAATAGACAAGCATAACACCACAAGAATCTAGGGACTCTACACCAACTAGACCTGAACACCCCAAAGCAGATGAAGCAGAAGAGAACGACTTAAAAATTATTGTCATAAAAATGATAGAGGCCTGTAAGGAGTAGTAGAAGATGTGAGAAAATCCCTTAAAGAAATGGAAGGAAAAACAAACAAAAAAATCAGAAGAAATGAACAAATTTCTTAAAGAAAGTACAGAAAGCCAAGAAAAAACAAACAGGTGAAGGAAACGGTTCAAGACTTGAAAACTGAATAGAGACAACAAAGAAAACACAAACTGAAGGAATGCTGGAAATAGAAAAACTGGGCAAGCGATTGGGAACTATAGACACAAGCATAACCAAAAGAAAACAAGAGATGGAAGAGAGAATCTCAGGCGCAGAGATTTATCGACCAAAGAAAATCATCAATCCAACAAATCCTTAACACAAAATATCCAGGAAATGTGGGATACCGTGAAAAGGCCAAACCTAAGAGTAATAAGCATAGAGGAAGGCAAAGCCCAGCTCAAAGGTGCAGAAATCAAATCAAATCAAATCATTGAAGAAAACTTTCCCAATCTGAAGAAGGACATGCCCATGAAAGTACAAGAAGCATACCGAACACCAAATAGACTGGACCAAAGAAAAAAGACCCTTCGACACATAATAATCAAAACACCTAATATAAATAATAAAGAATAAAGAAAGAATATTAACAGCAGTGAAGGAAAAAGGACAGGTAACATATAAAGGCAGACCTATCAAAATTACACCTGACTTATACATGGAAACTCTCAAGGCCAGAAGGTCCTGGATAAATGTTCTACAAGTACTAAGAATCCACGGATGCCAGCCCAGGCTACTATGCCCAGCAAAACTCTCAATCACTATAGACAGAGAAAACAAGTTATTTAATGACAAAGCCAGATTTTCACAATACGTATCTACAAATCCAGCCCTACAAAAAATTCTGGAAGGAAAACTCCAACCCAAGGAAGTTAACTATGCTCACAAAGACATAAGCAATAGATAATCTCACTTCACCAAAACCCAAGGGTAAGGTATTCACAATACCACCACCAACAACAAATCTAAAACAAAGAAGCATTAACAATCAATGGTCCTTACTCTCCCTCAACATTAATGGACTTAAGTCGCCTATAAAAAGACACAGGCTAACAGAATGGATACGAAGACAGAATCCATCTTTCTGATGCATACAAGAAACACATCTAAGCTTCAAAGATAGACATTGCTTCAGGATAAAGGGCTGGGAAAAGATCTTCCATTGATATGGACCCAAGAAGCAAGCAGGTGTGGCTATCCTAATATCTAATAAGTTAGACTTCAAACCAAAATTAATCAAAAGAGATGAAGATGGTCGTTTCGTATTCATAGCAGGAGAAATCCATCAGCACAAAGTCTCAATTCTGAACATCTATGCCCCAAATACAAAGGCATCCACATTTGTAAAAGAAACACTACTAAAGCTCAAATCTCACATAAAACCTCACACACTTAGAGTGGGAGACTTCAACACACCACTTTCACCACTAGACAGGACCACCAGTCAGAAACTTAACAAAGAACAAAGGAACTACTAGAAGTTATGTCTCAATTGGGTTTAATAGACATATGTAGAACATTCCATCCAAACACAAAAGAATGTACTTTCTTCTCTGCTCCACATGGAACCTTTTCTAAAAATTGACCACATACTAGGTGACATAACAAACCTCAACAGATACAAAAAAGTTGGAATATTCCCCTGAATCTTACCAGACCACCATACTTTAAAATTGGAATTCAACAACAATACAAATAAGAGAAACTCTACAAACTCACGGAAATTGAACAATGTGCAATTGCACCATACCTGGGTCAAAGAAGAAATAAAGAAAGAAATTAAGGACTTCCTAAAATTCAACAAGAATGAGGACACAACATACCCGAACTTATGGAACACTGTGAAAGCAGTGTTACCAGGGAAGTTAATTGCACTAAGTGCCCAGAGGATAGTCACATAAGAGAATTAACAGCACAACTGAAAGCCTTAGAACAAAAAGAAGCAACTCACCCCGGAGGAGTAGACGCCAGGAAATAATCAATTTGAGGGCTGAAATCAACAAAATAGAAACCAGGAAAACAATACAAAAAAAAAAAAATCAATGCAACAAAGAGTTGGTTTTTCGAGAAAATCAACAAGATACACAAACTTATCCAAGCTAATGAAAAAGCAGAGAGAGAATATGCATATTAACATAATCAGAAATGAAAAGGGGGGATAACAATGGACACAGAGGAAATCCAGACAATTTTCAAGCCATACTTTGAAAACCTGTACTCCACAAAATTTGAAAATTCAAAGGAAATGGACAAATTTCTGGGGAACTATCACTGACCAAAATTAAATCAAGAACAGACAAACAACTTAAATAGACCTATAACCCCTAATGAAATAGAAGCAATCACTGAAAGCCTTCCAACCAAAAAAAGCCCAGGGCCAGATGGCTTCAGTGCAGAATTCTACCAGAAATTCAAGGAAGAGCTAATATCAATGCACTTCAAATTGTTCCACACAATAGAAACAGAAGGTTCATTACCAAATTCTTTTTATGACGCTTGGTACCCAAGCCACACAAAGACACAATAAGAAAGAAAACTACAGACCAATATCCCTGATGAACATTGATGCAAAAATACTCAATAAAATACTGGCAAACTGAATCCAAGAATACATCAGAGAAATCATCCACCATCACCAAGTAGGCTTCATACCATGGTTCAGGGATGGTTTAACATATGAAAGTCTATCAACGTGATCCACCATATAAATAAACAGAAAAAGAAAAACCATATGATCATCTCCCTAGATGCAGAAAAAGCCTTCGACAAAATTCAACACCCTTTCATGATAAAGGTCTTGGAGAGATCAGGGATAACAGGAACATAATAAGAGCAATATACAGTAAACCAACAGCCAGTATCAAACTGAATGGAGAGAAGCTTAAGGCGATTCCTAAAATCAGGAACAAGGCTGCCCCCTCCATATCTCTTCAATATTGTACTTGAAGTTCTAGCTAAAGCAATAAGACAACAAAAGGAGATCAAGGGGATCCAAATTGGAAAGGAAGAAGTCAAACTGTCTCTATTTGCAATTGATATGATATTTTACATAAGCGACCCAATAAGCTTTACCAGGGAACTCCTACAGCTGATAAACACCTTCAGTAAACTAGCAGGATACAAGATAAACTCAAAAAAATCAGTAGCCCTATTTTATTCAGACGATAAAGAGACAGAGAAAGAAATCAGAGAAACATCACCCTTTACAACAGCCATAAACAACATAAATTCTTTTGGGAGTAATGCTTACTAAACAAATGAAAGACCTATATAATAAGAACTTCGTGTCTTTTAAGAAAGAAATTAAAGAAGATACCAGAAATAAAATGGAAAGATCTCCCAATGTTCTTGGATAGGTAGGATAAACATAGTAAAAATGACAATCATGCCAAAAGCAATCTACAGACTCAATGCAATCCCCACTAAAATCCCAGCACAATTATTCACTGATCTTGAAAGGATAATAATCAACTTTATATGAAAAAAAAAAAAAAAAAAAAGACCCAGGATAGCCAAAACAACCCTGTACAATAAAAGAACTTCAGGAGGGATCACCATCCCTGACTTTAAGCTCTACTACAGATATATAGTACTGAAAACAGCCTGGTATTGGCACAAAAATAGTCAAGTAGACCAAAGGAATCAAATCGAAAATCCTGATATTAACCCACACCTACGAACACCTGATTTTCAACAAAACAGCTAAAAGAAACAATGAGGCGAGGACAGCATCTTCAACAAATGGTGCTGGCACAACTGCATGATGATGTGTAGAAGACTGCAGATAGACCCATGTCTATAGCCATGCACAAAACTCAAGTCCAAATGGACCAAAGACCTGAACATAATCCAGCCACACTGAACATCTTAGAAGATAAAGTGGGAGGTACCCTTGAACAAATTGGTATAGGAGACCGCTTCCTGAACATAACTCCAGTAGCACAGACTAGGAGATTGACAATTAATAAATGGGACCTCCTCAAACTGAAAAGCTTCAGTAAGGCAAAGGACACAGTTGACAAGACCAAACGGCAGCCCACAGACTGGAAAAAGATTTTCATCAATCCTACATCTGACAAAGGGCTGATCTCCAAAATATACAAAGAACTCAAGAAACTAGTCACAAAACACCAAATAACCCTATTTAAAAATGGGGTACAGAACTGAAGAGAGACTTCTCAATAGAGGAAATCAAAAAGACTGAAAGACACTTAAGAAAGTGCTCAACATCCTTAGCTATCAGGGAAATGCAAATCAAAACAACTTTGAGATACCATCTTACTCCTGCCAGAATGGCTAAAATTAGAAACACCAATGACAACTTATGGTAGAGAGGATGTGGAGTGCAAACTCATACAGCCATTTTGGAGATCAGTATGGCAGTTCTGAAAATGGGAATTAGTTTACCACAGGACCCGGCAATCCCCCTTTTAGGCATATACCCAAATGATCCACATCCATGCAAGAAAGTCATGTGCTCAACTATGTTCATAGCAGCATTATCTGTAATAGCAAGAACCTGGAAGCAACCTAGATGCTCCTCAACTGAAGAATGGATAAAGAAGATGTGGCACATCTACACAATGGAATACTACTCTGCAGAGAAAAACAGTGGAATCTTGAAATTTGCAGGCAAGTGGATGGAACTTGAAGAAACCATCCTGAATGAGGTAACCCAGTCACAAAAAGAGAAACATGGTATGTACTTGCTCATATATGGATTTTAGACCTAGAGCAAAGGAATACCAGCCTATAATTCACACCACCAGAGGAACTAGGATGCAAGGTGGAGTCTAAGGGATTCATATAAAGTCCCTCACAGAAGGGGGAAGGGAAAAGTTCTCCAGAGCACATGGGGAGTGTGGGAGGCAGTGAGTGGAGAGGGAACTAGGAGAAAGAGAAGGGGAGGAGAGGAAAGCATGTGGGACTATGAAGATTGATTCAGGGGAGGAATAGAAAACAGGAGAGAGAGAGAGAGAGAGAGAGAGAGAGAGAGAGAGAGAGAGAGAGAGAGAGAGAGAGAACATAAAAGAGGAGCCATTATAGGATTGAAGAGAAAACTGAACCTAAAAAATGTCCAGATACCTACAAGACTGGCTCTACTTAACAATTTGAAGAACAGTGGAAGTTATACCATAAATGCCCCTTCCTGATAATGAGATCAACAACTAACTTATCCACCATCATGGAGCCCTCATCTAGTACCTTTCGGAAAGAGAATCAAACACCCACAACCAAACACTGAACTGAACTAGAATCCAGATGCAGAGAGGGAGGGCAAGACAACGCTGCAGAAAGACATAGAGACAGCAGACCTGAACAAGGAGGAGCTAACGGACCCCCAGACTGATAGCTGGGAATCCAATATGGGACTGATTCAGACCCCCTGAACATGGGTCTCAGCTAAAAGGCCTTAGCATCTAAGGGACCTCAGACAGTGGAACCAGGATGTATTCCTGGTGCACAAAAGGACCTTGCAGGCACATACCCCCTGGAGGGATACTTCCTTAACCTAGAGACAGGAGAGAAGTCCTAGTCCCTACTTCAAATGACTTGACAGATTCAGATGACCCCTCCTCTGTGGCAACACCCTACATGTGGAGTGTGGGGGTGGGTAGGACGGGAGGGTGGTAGGGATACATGGGGGGGGGAGGGAAAGAGGGAGGGAGGGAGAAGGAAATGGGATTGATATGTAAATAATAAATTAATAAAAAAAGAAATTAGCAATAAAATTTTATTTGACATTTCGTTAAAATTAAAAAATAAAAATAAAATTAATATACAGACTCCTCTATGGCCATTTTTCTGCGTCAATAATGATCTAAGAGATAAACCTTTTACTAGGTAATCATAGAAAAATCCTGAATAATTAATAAAATTATCTGTATGCATTTTTTTTTTAGTTATGAAAACTCCACATTGTTTTTAATACTGGGGAACTTGCATTTGGGCCCAGTGTTCTTGAATCAACTGTTCAAGAAAGATCTAGGTTTGGAAAGGATCCTGAGATCCACATTCACAGATAAGTTACTTGGGCTATGCGCTACTGGAAATATTTTTGTAGTCACCTAAGATGGTGGTTTGCCAGCCTCCCTTTTCAATGCCTCTCCTGTCTTCTCCAAGCCCTGAGAAACTTCCAAATGAGAATGTGCTCCTGGTGGGTGACACATCTAAGTGGTCTTCATGCAGAAGGAATGGTACACCCATTCTTCTAGGTCGCCTCTTTCCTGTGTGGTGAAATGGAATGGAGCCTTTTCTCTCTCGGTCTTCTTTGCGACTTTTGAACTGCAATGATGAGAGATATAAGCAGACACAAGGCAAATCAGGTGTAAGAGTAAACACAGGAAATGTTCCAGTAAGAGGATATTATTGGATATCATCCAACAAACGGGGAAAATGTCACAAGGGTGTTAATGGAGGGAGAGAAACCAAGCAAAATGCTACATTCTTTAAGTATTTCTGCTGGATGAGTTTGAGCACAGGTTCTCACAGAGAAGACCCTGAACCACCACCACCACCACCAGCAGCAGCAGCAGCCACCACCTTTAGGAACTTGTTAAAAATGCAAGCTTACAGATTCACCCTCAGATATACCCAACATCTAAAATTCAAAAGGAGAAGCTGGGTGATCTATGACTTAACAAGCCCCATGGGTACCTTTGATCTCTACTGTACTCTCAAGGCCAGGGTCCACTAGAGCAGAGGATCATTGTCCCAAGCCACTGCTTTAGCCTGTCTCCTTCAACTGTTCTACTTACCAAGGTTGAGGTCCATTGTTTTAGTGAGCAGGTTAACTGCTCACAAGGATGGTCAAAGAGGACACATAAGAGACATTGGTACAAATCTATTATTCATACCAAAGATGTTCAAGATCAAGGGTAACCCAGAATTTAGGCTTGAAAAGCTTTAGAAACACCCATATCTGAGTCTAGCTTTCAATGATTGATTTTGTATGCATTATTCTAGGCACAGGCCTCAGCACTTGGATTTCTAAAGCACTCAAAAATACCTATTTGCAACAAGAATAGAAAAATATTTCCTTTTTCTCCTCTCCAATAGTTGATGTTTTAGAAGAATGATCAGTGCCTACTGCTATTAGTGGTGATTAGTGAAGGAGACACAACTCATTATTTAGTAATGAGTTGAGCCGATAGATGAGTAAATACTTGTTTCTATGTTCTTCATTGACATAATTAAACAAATAATTTTGCTACACACACACACACACACACACACACACACACACACACACACACAATTTCCTACTTGATTAACTCTACACAGTGACAGAAGAGATAGAGTGGCCAGTCCATAAGAATGTGAATTTTTTAGATAGAAGTCTTATTTTTGAGGTTAGCGTTAAGCTTGAACAAACTGCAGAACATTTCTGTAGGTTAATTTCTGTACAAAAAAATTAAGAATAGGCTCTCACTGGATTAAGTAAGAACTACTTGTATAGAGTATTTGATAATGAAATGGAGCCATAGGAATAGAAACTAGCATGGCTGCATTCCACTTCCTCCTCCATCACAGTGGATTACCAGCATGGGGCTTCATGATAACTGTGTGAATGTCTAGAATAGGGCACATACATTCACACACATGCACATACATTCACACACACACACACTCACACACACACACAAACATTCACACACCCATTAACACACACATTCATGCACACATTCACACACACATTCATATACACATTCACACACACACATTCACACAGACATACATTCACACACACACACACACACACAGGTGAGTCACTGTTACACTTAGAAGCTGATATTTTCTTCCTTTTCTACTACTGCCTCCTGTGACAAATCAAGGGATAACATGCCCCTCTGATTTTCTAAGTCAGTGGGATATCAAAATGCATACTCACCTTCTTAAAAATGTTCATGCCCAGGTCTGAAGACAGATCCGGCACTGCAGATCTCCGAAGGTTGGTCAATGAAACCTTAGAAAAAGCCTCAGGGCTTAGAGATTTTTCTTCTTCATTACACTTCATGGTGAGATCCTTAACAAACAGTAAACATAGACCATGATTATGGACTTAGATAGCCCCAATACTTTATTGAGGAGTCACATTTTAATGGCACTACACCTATTCTGAGATCCATAAAATTTTAACTTGCATGCTTGAACTTCTGGAATCTAAATTCTGCTACGGCAAAGATGTATTTCCTATTAATCATAACTTCAGTTGCAAATTTTAACACTGAGGCCATGTAGTCCCAGATTCAAAATACTAAGAAAATAGGTAGAAGATACATATTTTAATGTATTTTTAACATAAAACATTTTTCATATGCTATATTTTCATCACTTTCCCCTTCCCCAAACTCACCCAGATCTTCCCCACTGAGAGTTTCTCTAGTTAATTTGTGGGAGGATGTCTACCACTAAATCAGCGCTTATCTTTGGAATGTGCAGGAATACACTTTCAGAACCAACCCACTCAAGTTTAACTGAACAGCTGGTGTCCTGCAAGCTAATCATTTCTCTATATTTTCACCATATGGAGCTGATGAAAAAGATGGGAAGAACAAGTGCTTCACTGATAAGGGGGCATCATTTATCAGAATACAATCTTCATAGGAATGTTACCGCATCAGGGTGTATTTAGGTTACTTCTACAAATATTCATAACAAATTGTAAGCCTGTATATAAAAAAGTAATATTCCCAATGATAGCTTTGAGATGCTTATGATTTTGAGTAGAGCAAAAAATGCTGAATCGTATCCTATGAAATGCTAATTTCTTACTTTATGATGTTTAATTATGAGGCTGTATGTTAGATCCCTATTCTAATTGATTCTCTGATATTCCAGGAGACCCAGTTTTCAATGTTATTGTTAAATAAAGGTTTATACTAAAGTATATGTACAAAAGGCACACTTCCATTAATGGTAAATAGAGAGCTGAAGAACAGCCAAAGGTTCTGGCCATGTGACAGAAGAGAAGGATATTGACAAGAGAGTTATTCACCAAGCAAGCACAATTGCTTGACGCCAGATGAGAGAAAGAGAATGTGCTATAGCTGATGTTAACCTAAATGACAGTGAACCAGGTTTGTCTTACTTGGGTCTTGTGGGTATTCACTAGTGAGGGAGCTGCCGCCACCATTGAGCTACTTCTGGGCCTTGGCAGGAGAGGAATATCTGGTTCTGGGGTCTTTTCTGGCTTCTCTTCCAGCATGTGTCGCAGCCTTTGTAGATAGTACATCAGGGACCACTGAGTGCCTTCCTCAGACCAGTGGGGCTGGAGAAGGCAGCGGAGAACAGCAACATCGAAGTAGGTGGCATAGCGTGACCTCTGGCATGGTGGTATCACAAGAGAGGCCCTGTTTCCAGTGACAGTGGAAAGATTATTACACTGGCATCAAGCCTCCCAAGGCACAACACAATCCAGCCTAAGGCTCTACATTTTTACTTATTTATTCATTCACTCATCTCTTGCATGGTTCCCTCTAATATCCTCCTAACTAGTCTAGCTTATTCCGCTTCTGCTAAGCAATTCTTAAAAATAGTAACATTGAGAGTGTTGAAGGCTGGCTAAGAAACTAGCAATGTAAAGTTGGCTCAGGAAGACAACCTGGTTATTTTAAGGTAAAGGAAAGCATGCCTGCTTGCAAAGGTATTGATAAAACAAAAACAAAAACAAAAAACATGAGTTGAGTGTGACCATCATATATTGGTGTTACAGTTGATGAGTAATTTGAGTGGTAGGCAATGACAGCCAGAGACAAAGAAACTGGTGAGACTCAAGTCATTATGTTTCCTAAGCTATCAGGTTTGACTACAATAAAAGCAGGGGTGATGTTTGTCTTCCTTACTGGTTGGGCTATTTTAAGTTCAGAGTGAAAGCATTACGGAAAACAACAACAACAAAAACCAACCTCCCCAAACAGAAACATACCAAACAAACCAAAGTTTGATTATTATGAAAATTAATCACTTTGAAAAATTCTCGTTATGTATCTATCTATGTAAGACGGCAAAAGTAACTTAAAAATTCTCAAAGTTTTAGAATGCTATTATTTTACTTAAATGCATATATATTCATGAACTAATGAATTATAGTGTACTAAACAATTGTTTTAGTTATCTACCTAGATTATTACACCACATTAGGTATCTTAAAAGAATTAGACTGAATGTTTTTGTCCTTCAAAATCAGTATTTTCAAATATCAAATAAGGGGTGGGGAAAATTAAGTCATCGTTCTTCACAAGTGGGTATGATGCCCTTTACACAAAAGATCACAGGGTGCCCTCTTGCTGTCTGTCACATGAGAACATCAGAAGCCTGCAATCTATATCCCAAACCAATTATCCTGATGCCCTGATCTTGGATGAGCAGCCTCCAGGATTGTCGGAGACACATTTCTCTTGTATAGAAGCCACTCAGGCTATGTCACAGCAGCCCAAACTAAGATAGCCGTGGACATAAAAGTCTGTGTTGCGGAACATACAATCCAGTAAGAATGACAGAAAATAAATGCCAAAATAAAATCGGCTTTCTGGGAACTGAGGCCACCTGGGGTCTAAACTGTAAACTCAATCCCCAAGCACTATTTTCTTCCAATTGAGATGACACAGAAAGACGTTTTGACACCATCCCACACAAAGAAGACCTCTTAAAAAAATAAACACACACACACACACACACACACACACACACACACAACCGCTGAGACACTGAGAATGAGGAATGAATTTCCTGAACTCCTAAGGTCCTTATTTTGGGGATTTCATTGTCTTTTCATTTGCCTGCATGCTTGTCTGAGACAGGTCTCCCTAAGTGGCATGGTCTGTCATCAAACTCTTAATTCTCCTAACACAGCTCCTCAAGCACTAGGATTATAGGCATGTACTGAACTGATAGTCTATAATTTATCAGTGGTTTAAAATTAACAAAGTGAGACATGGTTACAGTTAGCCTACTATTGAACATAAGTAGCATGGAATATGGTTTTGTGTGTCTGGTGAAATCTTGGTTTTTTTTCATGGTTTCATCAAGAATCATGAGTCTCACACACACACACACACACACACACACACACAAAACACACACTCCCACAATACACACATAAAACACACACCTACAAAAGAATGTTTTAGAAATATTTTTTAAAAATACAAACCCAGGTCACATATGATGCCGTGTTTGTCATTTTCATAACCAATTTTACTCCCTTATCAAAGCACATGTCACACAGCTGTTTCTATTATCACTGAAGACATCTTCTGGTGTAGTGAGTGGCAACTGTCCATGTACATGAAAGTTTTGAGTATCATTGTTGTCTTAAAAAAAACTTGCATTTTTTTTTATTTTATTGATTTCATTTATCGTATATATATGCACATATATGGGTGCTTGCACCACTGAGGGAGTAGTGAGATGAGAAGACTTGTGGCAGTTAGTTCTCTCCTTCTAGAGAGAGCAAACTTAGGCTGACATGCTTAGAGGCAAGTGCCCTTAACTGCTCAGACATCTCACCAGCCCTTAGTGTTGTCCTATAGCTGAATATTCTGAATAATTTAACCAGAAAGTAGAAAACTAAATTTAAGATGTTCAAGCACATCAGGTGCCACATACTAAATTCTTTATTTGTTTATTTATTTATTTATTGCTGTTTTTCCAAGACAAGGTTTCTTTGTGTGGAACTTGCTCTGTAGACCAGGCTGGCCTTGAATTCACAGAGATCCACCTGCTTCTGCCTCCCAAATGCTGAAACTAAAGGCATGCGCCCAGCTCTCACACCAAATTATTAACTAGGATGGAAATCATATTGAACAGACCTTGTATATAACCCTAAATTCTCATATACACTGGATTGAGAAGTAAAATACTCCAGTTGTCAGTTACAGGCCAATTTTAAATCTATCCTACAGTTCAGGATTCAATTTTAACTCTATCCCAGAGTCCTAGAGATTCTCCTTCCCACTACTTCTCATCAGCTTTACCTATAGACAGCATCCAGGTGCTAGTGGCCAACACATTTCACCAGGAGAATCGCAATTGTGTCCTTCAAATCTCTTTGTTTCTTCTCTTATTCTCCATTCCTCCAATTATTAAATCATTCTTAGAATGAAATGCAAAATCCACACAGTGCTGAACACCTGTCTAATGTGCATTCAATTCTTTTTCTTTATGTTCCCTTCTCCTCCTCTACCTCCTTACTGTTTCTGTTGTTTTGTCTTTGAGATAAGGTTTCATGTAGCTCAGGCTGGCTCCCAGCTCACTAAGTAGCCCAGTCTGGACTTGAACTCAGTATCTTCCTGCTTCAGTCTCTTGAGTTTTGGGATAATGAGTGTGTAGAGTATATACCTTGCTATCTACTCCAACCTCATTTTTATAACTGTGCATGCACTGGTGTACCAGTTATCAATGTACTTGCATTGCTTTCCAACTCTGATTATTTATTCATTTATTTATTTATTATAAAGGTCCTCTTTCATTATCTTTTCAGATTGTGTATGGGCTCTTCATTGCCCTCTGGACCTGGAGTAGTTACACCCTCAGCACCAGCTTGAAGGAAAATAATTTTCATTTCTACACATTTTTTCTAAGAGACTTTCATTACTCTCCCCTCCCCAACCCTATTGCATTTCTATTCCTTAAAGAACCATGATCTAACTTATTCCTCTAAGCCTATCATTTACACCTAAGCTAAAAGGAATTCTTTCCAGCATTAGATCTATAAAGAAAAGAAAATATGAGGTTGGCTGGCCACCAGCTGTGTAATTTCAGGTCCTCAAGCCTTCGTGACAGTCATCTAATTTAAAAGAGTTTGTGAATGCCATTATTTCTTGACTGATCCTCTGTAGTGAAGGCAGATATCAGCAGGTCGGCAGAATTATTTTCCCCTTTGACTAGCTGTAGTTATTATAAATTCCCTCCTTTGTCTCTGTACCTTAGAGTTCTCAAATTTTTTACTTGTTAGATTAGGTAATATCCTAAAGTTTTCAAATCCCTAGAATGTTGTTCCATATGAGCTGCCAATAGACCACTTCCACGATGTTCCCAAGATCGTGGGGAAGATGTTAAGAAAACAGGCACCAAGGTTTCCTTTAAAATTTGCTAAACTGTAGCCTCTTCGCCTGCCCTCTGCCTGAGGTAAGTCTGGGATCAGCCCAGGCTGAATCCCTCCCACATCCTTTCCTGGGAACTCCCTGGGTCAGCTCTACATTTTGACCCCCCTATACCTTTGGTCCAGTCCTGGTACTCTGGACCATCCACCATCTGGAGCTTGCCTTCCCCTCATCCTTGGCCCTGCTGGGCCCACAGCTTGGGGTGAGTATTTGGCCATTGCATGGTTCCAACACCCCCACCTGATGGGAGATGTCATTCTATAAATATGTTTCTCTTATTGGTTAATGAATAAAGCACTGTTGACCAATAGGAAAGCAAGATGGGTGGGACTAGGAGAGAAGGAGGATTCAGGGAGAAGTAGGGAGGAGATTCAAGATGTAGGATGGAAAGAGCAGAATTCCAGCCCCTCTCTCTGGTAAGATAAGACCATGTGGAAATACTTAGATTAATAGAGATGGGTTAATATTTAAGATAGAGCTAGCGGACAAGAAACTAGTAACTGGCTAGCAGCTTTATATCTAATACAGCATCTCTGTGCATTATTTGGGGCAGGTGTGGCTCTCGGACCACCCTTGGTGGGAAAAACTACCATAACACCCACCCTCTCATGTTCTTCCACAACACTAAAACAATACCACCAGTTTGAGCCCAAAATGCTCAGACACACGAGTCTGTGGGCAGCATTTCACTTTCTAACTATAATAGGTAGGGATTCCTATTATTCTGGATTGATATATAGTAGAATGTGCTTTTTCCTTTCTTGTTTTAAAGCCTCAGAAAGCATCAATATTCAGAAGTTTTTGGGGTGTGATCCACCACATGAAATCTTAAATAGTGTCCAAGTCGACGAAGTTGAACTAAGGAGTACAGTAGTGGCCACATTGCCATGAGACCTCTTTGTCAAGGTTTCTATTGCTATGAAGAGACACCACAAGTACAACTATCATCATCATCATCACCATCATCATTATTATTATGGTTTTTTGAGACATGTTTTCTCTGTATTGCTTTGGAGCCTGTCCTGGAACTAACTCTATGTACCAGGCTGGCTGCGAACTCACAGAGATCTGCCAGCCTCTGCTTCCCGAGTGCTGGAATTAAAGGAGTGAGCCACCAATGCCCAGCTGACCACAACAATTCTTATAAAGGAAAACATTTAATTGGGATGGCTTTTTAGTTCAGAGGTTTAGTCCACTGTCATCATGGCAGGACATGGCAGTGTGCAGGCAGACATGTTGCTGGAGAA